CTGGCTATTCCTTTTTGGTGGGGGTGGGGGGTTGGTAAGGGGGTTAAAAATTTAAAAAAATCGTAACTCCAAAATTACAGTAGCTAGCGAAACGCGGTTTTCAAATTAAGATTAGGAATAATATTTGCAACAAAATTTGTAATAACATCAAAATCAGTCAAAGTCGCAGTTTTCGAGATATTAACATATTTTAGTATGGGCGGCTATACGTGCCTCCCGGCGCCAATTTTTTAAGTTTTAGTTTGTGTAATGTAAATGTAAAGAACCGTTTAATAATATCACAGATTATACAGATTATAATCTTTGTTTTTTCTTTATTGTTTTTCGTGGTTCCAATTTTCGGAATCGGGCACTAGTTAGGTGACTAGTTTGCGCACATAGCACGCCCACTTATGGCCTCTAAAATTGTGCACAGCGCCTGACCGGCACAGTTATTAGAGAGATATCGGAAAACCGAATAGCGTCATCCAGTATTTACGCGTACCTTATCATGGTTACGATATGCGCGGGAGTCAACGCAACACCGCTAATAACGTTACCGCCTGACGTAATTTGCGGATCGATTACACCGCCGCTCTTTCTAAATAACCTCTGATAACGTTTTAAAAATTGCTTAAATGGGCATGTGCGGGTATTTGACAACCGGAGCCGACCGGCGAGATCTTTTATTTTAGGTTATGTTTGAATTGTTTTGAATTATTGCTTTAGTTTTATTAGGTAATTTGATATTTAAGTAGCTGGGATTAGTTTTAATTAAATAAATATGGCTCAAAATATGGATTCCACCTCTTCTAATACTAAAGAACCTATAGAGTCTTAGGTTTACAGCAGATGACGACTTAGCCCTTCTAAGAGAATTTGTTGCTTGTTGTCCTAAACCCATTGGCAGACGTTGAACAATAAAGCACTGGAAATAAGCACTTTAGCCCTTTAGTTTTAAAATACCTAGTAAACAAAACAATTTCAAAATTTTAAATTCAAAGTTAGGTTAGAATTTTAGAATAAGTGGGAGGGGGGTTAATCTCTGCGACCTTAGAGATCTATTGTGTCCCCCTTTCTTGAGTTATAACTCATCATACAGTCCCAGGACTTCCTACGGAGACCCGTGTCCCTCAGCGTCGAGGAGCTACGAAACGGTAGCTTGTGTCGCTTGTTGGGTTTAGATGTAGGAGGTAGGCTCCCGACCCTTGGAGGAGGTGGTAGAGGTGGTAGCTTGTATGTCACTTGCGGAGGATGGTCTCACGCAAGTGTCAGCCACCTCTCCTGTAGTTCTCTTTGGGTTTGGCCCCTTGGAACTTTCATTGTTACTGTTCCCAGTGTCGCTAGGGGGTTTCCCCACAGCTTCACCGGTGATGTTTTTATTACTATTATTACCAGATCTCTCATAGGTGTTCCTAATGAGTCGCTAGGGACAGTCGGTCCACTTCTACAGAGCCCCCGCATGTAGAAGTAAGGGGTAAAATACAATGGGGTGCCCCCCGGTGCCCCAAGGTTGAGGCTGTCCGTAGCCCCGCCCGGTATCGTTATATGTCTTGGTGCAATTCCCTGGCCACGACACTACAGTCAGGGACAAGACGATGAGTGAGATGCTTCTTAGACCAAGCCAAGTGCTAGACGGGATTCCCCCCAGCACCTGACCAGGAGCTTCCCCACCAACGACAAGGCCTTGCATCTCCTAGGGGAAGAAAGTTAGGTTAAGTTTAAATAGCGGACGCGACGCGATCAGAATTCTTTCCGATCCGATAACTATAAATGAAGAGAGTTAATACCACCTCACGTAAAGGAAATAACACCTGGCCTTATTAACGTCCATGCACGCTATTCGTTTTAGCGATATCTCTCTATTACGCTGTTTATTGTTATTTTACGCGAGTTTATTTTTGCGCACAGGAAATTTGACTCGTTTGCACATCGTCATAAAAAACAATTTTCGTACCACGAATTAGGGACAAGATTTTTATCTGTATACTTATAGGATACCTAATCTGTGATAATATATTCTGTCTTTTTATATATCTATTACATAAGTTATAAATCATAATAGAATAAGAATACCATACCAACTAAGTGAAATTAGTTAAGAAAGATAAGAATTGGCTATAACTCAGGCTTTAGAAAAAAACGGAGGACACAATCTGATTAAAGCCGGAGTCTCATGCATCCGAAATCCGATGGTACGACATCCGAAATTTGAAGTTATCGTGTGAAATAAAAAAAGCCTGTCACATACATCCGAAAGTTCGTTCCGAAATTTGACAGTTTTAACATTTTTCTGCTGCGCTGAATAGAGATTCATGTCATGTTTTATTGGAGAAACACTTATAAAAATAACTTCCTCGCCAAATATCCCGAAATTGCCCACTTCCCACTAAACTTGTTTTTAAAAACAAATGTTTTCATAAAAAGTGAGGTTAAAAAACACACGATATCGTACAAAAGTTAAACAAAATTTAACTTTATACGACGTCGGATGATTAGTTAAAATTATCGGATAAAAATTGTTGTCAAAATATTTCGACCAATAGGAGCACCGTCGGATCGTCGTGTCCTCGGATTTCGGATGCATGAGACTCCGGCTTTAAAGGCTGACGCTCACTAGACGGAAGCGCGCCGCAGCGCACGGTAGCGCGGCGAAAAGGAATTTTTATAATACATAGTACTAGTACCGTATGATCGAATAAAAACGGCGTCAACGATGGCTATGAAATGAAGATCGCTGTCATTTTATATGTAAAATTATATGGGAAATGTCATCGATCGTCATTTCCAAGCCAACTGGACGCCGTTTTTTTTCGATCATACGGTACTTCCAGCATGATGGAATTGGGACAATTTTTAAAATAGCCGAAATTTGTTTTTTTCCAAATATCTAGTAAGCCGTGGACTTTTTTAAAAATTTGAAAGGCGCATATTTATGACACCACAACACTGCATTTTTATCCCTATTTAACCGATTCTCTATCTCCAGTAGAACATCGTAGAAAACTCACCCTGTATGTTATATTTGTTTACCATTAGTTATGGAGCCCTTGCCGAACGCATTCTGAACGCTAAAGCAACGTCTAGAAGAATTTATAACCCAACAAAACCAACAGTAAAAACCACTTTCCCAGTTCAAATTCTGCTTTAGCGTTCACAATACATTCGGAATGGTCGTCGCATAGAATGGCCTTTCCTTAGCCATTATTATTATAAATTTGTACTTATTTTTAGTAGTGGGAACTATCGAATGAATACTATCGAAACATTCGATAGTTGCAATTCATTCGAATAATTCGATAGTTAGTAAGAAAACATTCGTTGAAAACTATTCGAATAAAAAATATCGAATGGATCCGTCATCTGCCTTGAAATATTGTATTCTAGTAATTCGGCAGCAAAAACCATTCATTTATACAATTCATTCATTTATGAAATTCATTTATTCGTCAGGATCGATTATAATAAAATATTAACTGAATTTTAGTTGTCGCCCGGCGACGTAGGTTTCTTTCCGAGAAACCCGACAGCAGTCGGTGGCAATGCTATGAAAGAAGCCGGCATCTTTGATTTTTTGCGGAGTCAGATATAGATAAGGACACATTATTTTTTTTATTGAGGTGCTAGTATTTACACAGAAAATACATTATGAAGGGCGCTGTTGCCATATTTTGGCATTAGTTGATATTAGCAAAGAATATTATTGTTTGGCTTTAGTTAGTTAGGGATAGTATGTCTATATATTCTGCATTTTTTTTTATTAATATTCTGTTGTTACACTGCAATAATACTTGTTATTTTGGATGTAAGAACATGAAAGTGATTTTTAATGTTTTTAAGCAAAGACTGGTTTAATAAATAATAATAACAGTAATAATTTGTTATACCTATTAACAACAAAATTTAAAATGATTTAATATCAATATTTTTTTAAGTAGTAGCAAAATATAAACAACAAATTAGATGTCAAAATTATTTATATTAGATCCTATTTAAAAATAATATAGTCTTTAAATTTTTTGGCAACGTTGGTTTGTTAAATAATAATAATTACAGAACTAATTTGTTATATTAACAACAAATTTTAAAATCATGAAATATAAACATTTATTAATTTTCTAAGCATGCAGTGTAATGGAACGAAAATATAAATAAAAAATTAGAAATCAAAATTATTTATATTAGGTGCTTTATATCTCTATTTAAAAATTATATTAATTAATTATATTACTTTTACTGGCATTTACTTTAAAAAATAAATGAAATATTTCTTCGCAAAAAACTACATGTAAGAGAATTAGCATAAACAAAATACAAACATCGTTAACTTTTTTTTAAAATTGGCACGTGTAAAACTTTCATTTTAATTTCTCACCCCATAGTTTGAGTTCGATAACCATTTACTTAACCACATTACTTTAATATGATTATTAAGTTCAACTAATTCATATTATTAAAACATCTAAAATACAAATATGTACTTTTAAAATTAATTTAAGTTCATCTCATCTCTCTTAAAAATTGCTACTTCTCAAAATTTCCCATTAAAAAATAGACCATATACCATATAAAATTAAATAATTGAAAGATCGGACTACGGAAAACCACACAACTTTTCGGAAAAATTTTGACCACCTGCACATGCACACAATCGTCAATAAATAAAATTAAAAAATAACTACTATTTTAGTATTTTAACTATTTTAGTAAACGCAAAAATAGCACAGTATTTATACGGTGAAGTTATAAAAATTTGGAAGAACTAATAATGCACTGACGCATACAAAAATCAAACGAATACTAAATTTCATTTGTCAAAAGCATTCGATAGTCGTGGCTCAACGATAACCATTTAGTCGCACAGCGAGGTTATCACATATGCTTTAGTATACAAATGAATGAATGATTTTATTCGAATAAAACCATTCGATAGTTGAAATCATTCATTCATTAACCATTCGATAGTCTAATTCATTCGATAGTTCCCATCGCTACTTATTTTACCTAGTTTATTAATTTAGATCATAAAAATGGACATGTCACATTCGAGTGGTAATATGAGTATTGGTGCAGAAGTAGTCTATGGAACACACGAAGATTCTCATGTTGTGATGTCCGAGAAAGTTCAGTCTCTTGCTGGAAGTATATATCAAGAATTTGAGCGTATGATAGCTCGTTACGATGAGGATGTTGTAAAAACTTTAATGCCGTTGCTTGTAAACGTTCTGGAATGTCTGGATGCAGCGTATCAACAAAATCAGGTTACTAAAAATATAATTGATAGTTTTGTTTGTTTTGATACCAATTTTTATCCAAGGAACATGATGTGGAACTTGAATTACTTAGAGAGGATAATGAACAACTTGTTACACAATATGAGAGGGAAAAGGGAGCGAGGAAAGCATCCGAACAAAAACTTTTAGAGTATGAAGATGCAGCAGAAGGTAAGTAAATAAGATTGACATAGACAAAAGATACTGGTGTGAGATTAATTTTGAAATTTTGAATTGAAATCTTAAATTTACAAAGAAATGTTTACCTAATAAACTGAAAAAAATATATACAGTGTGACCCACTCAAGACCGGGCACCCTCCATAAAATCTGTGTTTATAGTCCGATTTTGATGATTTTTTTTTCAAATATAAAGTTTCAAAAAATGTACTTTAGGGCTCAATGTCATGTTATTTCACAAAAAACAAGGCCTACTTAATAAAGTTTTTGTGGTGAAAAATTTGCAAAATCATATTAGCGATTTTTTTTCAAAAAATTTTAGTACACCCCTACATTCGGCATCCCCCAAAACAGTTCTGTACCAAATTTCGTTTAAAATTATTAATTATTAATAATTTTGCAGTTAAATTAAATAATTCCCTATTTTTGCCAATTTAACGATGAGTTTCAAGTAACCCTTTGAAAAACAATCCACGATAACGAGTTTTATTACAAACAATGATAAAAATACTATAACCGAATAATAAGTTAAACATATTCAAATAATTCTAGTTGCTTCTACCAGCCCTCCATTCAGTTCAATACATTTGTCGCATCTTTTTCTTAGATTAACAGTTACATTCCTAAGCTGCTGTGGTGTAATATTTGCAGAAGCCTCTGTAATTCTAATACGTAATTCATCTACAGATTGAGGTCTAGACTTTGTAAACTTGTTGCTTTAAGAAACCCCAAAGAAAGAAATCAAGGGGTGTTAGGTCCGGGGATCTCGGTGGCCACTCAATTAGCGGGCTATTTCGACCTATCCACTTATTTTCAAAATTTTCATTTAACCATTCCCTGACAACTGCCGCGTTATGCACAGGTGATCCGTCCAATTGAAATTTTAAATTCAAACGGGTTTGGCATGGTAAATTATGTATTGCATCCCAAAAGTCATTAATCAGAAAATTCAAAAACGTTGGACTATTCAAATTTCTCTCAAAAAAATATGGACCAATGATTCTATCATCAAGTATGCCACACCACACATTTAATTTCTGAGAATACTGTCTTCTTGTATTGATCACCCATTCAGGGTTTTCGACTGCCCAGAATCGCGAATTTTGAGAGGATACTACTCCGTTTGTACTAAATGTTGCCTCATCACTAAATAAAATTTCTTTTAAGAAATTTCTATTATTTAAATACTCTGCTTGAGCCCATAAGCAGAATTCTAATCGTCTAACATCATCTCCGTTTTCCAAAGTGTGTAAAATCTTTGGTTTAAAGGGTTTAACTTTATTAGTTCGCAAACATCTCCTAATATTTTCCCTTGGTATATCCAAATCAACACTGGCGCCTCTAATGCTTGCACGAGGATTGTTACGAAAATATTCTAATATTTCCTCATTCCGCCTATTTATTCGATGTTCCGGCCTTCTGTTTTTTAGTAAGTATTTTGACACACAACCAGTTTCATTAAAAACTCTATTTATTCGTTGAACCGTGCTTCTACTTACTGCAGGTCTGTCGGGATGTCTGTTGTTAAATTCTCTGGCAGCTTCTCCTGCTTGAAGATAGTTATCACCCACTAAACGAATAATTTCAATTTTATCCCTAATATTTAATTGTTCCATAATGCAAATAATATTTCTTGATACAACACTTTTCTGCGTGCTATTAAATTAATATTCAATTCTACGCTGCAAGAATTGACAGCTAATAAAACCCATTGTTGTGGATTGTTTTTTTCAAGGGTTACGTGATAACTCATCGTTAAATTGGCAAAAATAGGGAATTATTTAATTTAACTGCAGAATTATTAATAATTAATATTTTTAACGAAATTTGGTACAGAAACTGTTTTGGGGGGGATGCCGAATGTAGGGGTGTACTCAATTTTTTGAAAAAATCGCTAATATGATTTTGCAAATTTTTCACCACAAAAACTTTATTAAGTAGGCCTTGTTTTTTTGTGAAATAACATGACATTGAGCCCTAAAGTACATTTTTTGAAACTTTATATTTGAAAAAAAAATCATCAAAATCGGACTATAAACACAGATTTTATGGAGGGTGCCCGGTCTTGAGTGGGTCACACTGTATATTTGCTTTTTGTTAATTTCATTACATTTCTTAAGGCGAACGCAAGGAACTTACATCAAGATTGGAAGCTCTAGAGTCTATTGTTCGTATGTTGGAACTTAAACATAAAAATTCTATGGAACATGCTAGTAGATTGGAAGAACGGGAAACAGAATTAAAAAAAGAATATTCTAAGTTGCATGAGAGGTAAGAAGCATTGGTTATCTGTATAGGAATTCAGCGGTTCTGCTGAAGTTCTAAAGATCCAAAATATGTTCTAGATGTTTTGCACATTAATGTTAAATTAATTTACAATGACCTCATGTTTTAAAATATACTAAGTGACATTGAAAATAGAATACCCACTAAAAATTGTTTAATTTTAATAATCTTTTGTACATGAATGTAGGTTGACAAAAGGCGTAAATGATCAAAATTTGGAGTGAAAATATTGGCTCGTTACCTTGTCCTTGTTAATAATGTGTTGGACCAACTCGATGTTCTATACATTTGTTGAGCCGTCTGGGCATGGAACTAATCAGATGATTTATGTCTTCTTGCGGTATTTCAACCCATGTTAACTGTATTTCATGCCGAAGAGCTTCTAGTGTCTGAGGAGGATGCGGTAAGTTTGTCAGTCTTCTACCCATGATATTCCATACATGTTCAATTGGTGAGAGATCTGGAGATCTTGGTGGCCAGGGTAGGAGATTAACTTGGGTATTATGTAAGCGGTTCACAGTTAATCGAGCAACATGGGGACGGGCATTATCTTGTTGAAATATAGGATCGTGGAGCGTTCGTAAGTATGGTAAGAGATGAGCTTCTCCACAATTTCCTCAATATAGCGTTGGGCTGTCATATTACCTCGAACAAATACTAGAGGTGACCTGCTCCCATATGCGATTGCTCCCCAAACCATAACTCCTAGAACTTGGTTTACATGCCTCTCCATGAAAAACTGTGGATTCCGCCATTCCCCACGGTATCTTCTCACTCGCGCCCGACCGTCGTGCATTCCCAAACAGAATCGCGACTCATCACTAAAAACGATAGCATTCCATTCTGCGCCCCATTCTTGTCGGGCTCTGCACCACTCTAGACGTTGTCCTCGATGTTCAGGGGTCAATGGTAAAACCCAATGAGGCCGAAAAGAAAACAGCCCAAAAGACCGTATTCGTCGGTAAACAGTTCGCATCGTGATGAGTCTTCCGTGTTCCGTAAACCATTGGTTAGCAATTGCTCGGGAAGTGGCCGAATGGTCTCTGATAGCTAGTTGCCTTAAACGGTGATCTTGACCCTCAGTGGTTAATCTTAGACGCCCTGTACCTCTGGCACGATGTTCACGGTGTTATTGAAAGTAAGCTCTACAACAATTGGCAACAGTGCAAACACTTCTATGGACCCTATCAGCAATCTCTCGAAATGATAATCCTGCCTCCCGCAAACCTACAATCCGACCCCTATCAAAATCACTGAGTTGTCTAAAATTGGCACGTTTACGTATTCTAGGCATTATAATAAACTCAGAAAAATACCTGAAACTACTCTGTAGCAGAATAAGTAACAAATTGTGCGAAAGCCAGGTCTGTATTGGATGACTGGAATTTTAACAAAAACATGTATAGCACAAAAACTAGTGTGTTGACGGCGTTCAAATTATAATCATTTCTTATCCATACAATAATAAACATGCTTACAAACATTCATTAAAATTAAATAATATTTAGTGGGTGTTCTATTTTCAATGTTCCATATAGCATTTCTGAATTAGGGGGAGTGCTTGCAAATGTGATATATTCAACGAATGCCTAGTCAATAGGGAGGTTGCAAAAATTGTAACATATATATTTTTTTAGATAAATGCATAAAAAACCTAATATATAACAACATACTAAAGGAAAAATTTAAATACATGCAATAATATTTAAAAAAAAACACGATTAAAGTTCAAATTTTAACGCACGCGGCTAAACGCTTTTCTATTGATTTAACGTCATCACAGCGATAACCAGCCACGTCGGTCGGCACGACTAAGTACTCTAAAACCGTTTCTCGTCCTTTTTTACGATAGCTTAAATAAATAAGTGTTTATACGCATAATGGAACCAGCATTTCAAAAAGCCCAGGTAGATGTACCAATGACATGAGATTTTTGCATGAGTAGACAGAGTCAAACTCATTCAACTCAACAATTCACTCAAACATAAGCAAATGGTAGCTGATTTATATTTTGAGCGGCATCCAGAGCGCGAGCAACCAAACCCAGCTATTTTTAAAAGGGTAGAAGATAGTTTAATCAATTTTGGATCTTTTCAAAAACCGCGTCCGAAAAATTATCAGAAAGAAGATGAAGAAAATCAAAATCAATAATAGTTTGTTAGACGCAATATAACATTCTAACATATTATATTTCTCAAAATTTTCAAATTTACTCATTTTTTCATTATTTAAAATACACACACTTCAGTCTGTTGAAATGAAATGTTCCGCATCCATCAAAGGTATGTTCCGATCACCATGAAAACCGTTTACTTTGTTACTCGGCGCGGCATACTATCTACTAAGTGGATATTTTATGGAAAATTTGAAATATTGAGGTTAATAGTGAAAATAAATAGAAAGTGTTATATATTTTCGAGAAGCCCATGCTAAGCTGAATAAGAAAATTTAAAAATATACAGGGGGTTCTATTTAAAAAAAAAACATAAATATAGTTAATATAGTTAAAATATTTTTTCGAAAAAAGTTTGACTACGCCACTGCATTCTACACAGAAAAGTACCTTTAGAATGTATAATTAATTTTTCCGTGGTTGCTGAAATAAACAAACTATCGAACATCTTCAAAAAGTACAAAATTTGAGAATCCCCCTGTAGCTTCGAAACCGATCAAGATAGCCACGATCCGTTTGCGCCATTGTAATTTTTTCAAAAAAAGAACCCGAGACTGCAGTATCAAAATTTGAATATTTCTCACGGTTTTCTAGATACCCTATAGAAACAACCAAAATGGTCCACCCTGTACACCTCGTGAAAAACCCTGGGGTTGTCCCTCGTCCCGAAAGTACACTCGTCCGAAAAAACACACATTAAATAGGAAATTATTATCATTCGCCACTCGTTCACTCATAGCTTCACAAAATTGCAAGCAACGATCAAAATCGTCTTCGTTGAGTTCTTGTACCAACTGAATTTTGTACGGGTGGAACTTTTTTAATATCCTTTGGACACTTTCAGGCCGGCCTCAGATCATTTTCTTTAAATGGAACCAGTTACGTGAAATTTTGCTACTAACTCGCGTACAATTTTGCCATAAAGGTGTTTATCCAAAAAAATCCTTATGGGTTTTTCGCCACTGCACTGCAAGAAAAACTAACAAAATAAAATAGTTATTTTTTGTAAACACTTCTGCGTTAAACCTAAACGGACGCTGCTTGTCAGAAGTTGTGTTTACAGTAATAAAAATTTGCCTAACAAAGAAAAAAATGCTTAACGTTTCGGAAAGTTTTCTCTTTCCGTCGTCGGAAGCAAAAAAATATAAAGAATCAAGAAAAAAACTATTTAAAATATTTAAATTGAACTATTCGAGAACACTTTACTTTTTGAAACAGATACGTCTACAAGAAATCGTTGACGTTCTGTTAAAATGACATTATATTAAGTTAAACTTCAAAATTAACAATTACTACCTGATAATTACCATAGATAAATGCAACAAGTTTAGATTGGAAAGTGCCCATAAGGACTATGTAAACACTATTTGGCGCTATTCTTGCAACGGTCGCGACCCAAAACTTTTGAAAATTTCGGAGCGGTTCGGCTTTTTCCGGAATTATATCGCCAAATATTGTTTATTCAAATTTATTATTATTTTTGTTTAATTTTATAAATAAAAGACATTGTGTTGCATACAAGAAACTTTATTTTATATAAGGACGCATGCATGAAATACCTATGAAACATTGGAAACCGACGTTATGCCACGATCCACGATGTGGTTTTTGCAGTTCACAGCACAGCTTTTTAAGTTTTTAATGCCACTTTTTCACAATTATCACCGGTTGGAGTAAATAAAACTTGAATTAAACTCACGAGATAGCAATTATTACTTTGAAATTAGACGCTATAAACACTTTTCGGAATTTCTTTAATGAGAGCGGTATGGATGTTGAAAGATTATTATGATTTTTGAAGATTCTGACTTTGACAAGAGAAAATTATTTCTGTTTTTGTTTGCCGTTGTTCTTAGCGACCGCTATAGCAGCGCCAGATCGCGTATAACGGTCGCGACCCAAAATAATTTCGCCACCTAAAATTTTTACTGGCTTTCCAATCTAAACTTGTTGCATTTATCTATGATAATTACTTAATAAGGTAAAACCAAAAAACCCAAACTTTCTGTATGATTATTTTTAAATTTTACGTATGTTATGTTTATTTATGTTATGTTCTTTAAAATCAAAGAAGCGATTGCCATACATTACTAACATCTACAGATGCATGAGCAATACATTTATTTTGATTAGATTGAATTAAAAAAGCCTCTTTTATTTTTCTTTTAGACTATCCACCATATTTTATTGACAAAACATTAAACGAAATACAAACCCCAAATCATAGACACAAAGATAACAATACACAATATATACAACTTACAATTCCATACATACGAGGCGTTTCGGAAAAAATAAGAAGGATAGGAAAACAATATAACATACAAACATCTTTCAAAACACAAAATACACTTAGATCAATTTTATCACATACTAAACCAATGAATACAGAACAACAAACAAAAAATGTAATATACCAAATACCCTGTGAATGCGATAAATTTTACATTGGTGAAACATCTAGACCCTTAAATGTTAGAATTAAAGAACATAAAGATTATTTAAGAAAGGGAGATTTTCACAAATCTAAGATTTGTCAGCATTCATGGGACACAGGGCACAGAATAAATTTTAATAACGCCAAAATTATAATGAAAGAAGCGATAGCCTCTAAAAGAAAAATAAAAGAGGCTTTTTTAATTCAATCTAATCAAAATAAATGTATTGCTCATGCATCTGTAGATGTTAGTAATGTATGGCAATCGCTTCTTTGATTTTAAAGAACATTACATAAATAAACATAACATACGTAAAATTTAAAAATAATCATACAGAAAGTTTGGGCTTTTTGGTTGTACCTTATTAAGTAATTGTTATCAGGTAGTAATTGTTAATTTTGAAGTTTAACTTAATATAATGTCATTTTAACAGAACGTCAACGATTTCTTGTAGACATGGCTGGGAAACTTAAATGGAAATGACAGTTCATTAAAAATAGTTTTTCCTCCAAGATGCAGAGGCGCAAAATATTAAAACTGTCAATATTAACAATGCAAATGTCAATATGTGACAATAATAAAATTTGATTTTTTAACTGTCACTCAGAGACGCTTTTGTTGTGATTTTACGGTTTGATTTCGTTTGGATTTCGTTTTGATTTGTCGAATTATTGTAAAATTAAATTCCTTCAGATTTTTTGCCAGTATTCTGTTTTAGACAATGTTTTTTTAAAATGTTGGGACAATTTGTGTTTTGTATAGACTCTTAATTATTTTTTATCATGGAGTTTAATTGTTGTACACCTGGTTTCCGAAGGATACAGTGGTAAGTAAATTAAACATATCTACTTACAGTTATAGATTTTTTAAATTAGTACTGCTAATAAATGCTACTTGCAGAGCAGTTATTTAATGTTTTTTACGGTGCATGTAAGGAATTAAGGACGCGCGTTTTATATTAGCATGATCAGTAGATGATTACATCTGATTTAATTTGTTTTTATTATTTCAGGTCTCAAACGGAAACAAACTGGGAATCTTGCCTACACCAAAATTATATAGCCGTTTCCAATTCAGTTCAAAGGGAGGAAAATTATGTAAAACTGCCTGCTATTTGCTGAAAACCGCCAAAGATTAAATTATAACTGTAACAACTTAATATATACTATTTCTAGTCTTTTTAATATATTTTTTAATTAATATCCGACATATAAGAACACTTTGTATGCTTTTAATTCAGTTGATTTATCGTTTATAACATGTTCGACCTAATTAAAAGCACACAAAGTGTTCTTACATGTATGTCTAAATTTATTTTAAATTAACTAAAACAACCCCCTTTCCCCGCACCCCTCTCTTCCATTAGTATTTCTTCCTCGTCTACCAGAGGCGTCCTTGTATAATAAAATTGAAATGTATTATAAGTTGCCTATCTATTTAATAGTATAAGTCTTTTATCTATGCTTGTAGACGTATCTGTTTTAAAAAGTAAAGTGTTCTCGAATAGTTGCATTTAGATAGTATAAATAGTTTTTTTCCCGATTCTTTATATTTTTTTGCTTCCGACGACGGAAAGAGAAAACTTTCCGAAACGTTAAGCATTTTTTTCTTTGTTAGGCAAATTTTTATTACTGTAAACACAACTTCTGACAAGCAGCGTCCGTTTAGGTTTAACGCAGAAGTGTTTACAAAAAATAACTATTTTATTTTGTAGATTTTTCTTGCAGTGCAGTGGCGAAAAACCCATAAGGATTTTTTTGGATAGATGAATCCGCCACATAGGTATAGACATTTTTTATAAAGGCGTTTGTCAGGATGGCGTTCATTGAATATCTGCGCAACCCGATTGCCACATTCATTATTTTTAAAATAAAGTTCGATTATTTCCACTTTTTCTGCAAGTGAGTACACCATAATTGCTAAAAAGTTTAACGATATTGAGAAGAACTTCAACGCATAAGTCACAGAACAGCTATCTAGCAACTACCGCACCTGATCGTTCAACCTTGTGGCAAATGAAAAAATGCGTAAACATCTAGAAATAATAAGAAAAAACAGCAAATTGGTCGAAGAATTTATTATTTTATAGTTTTCAAATTTCAATCCTTCATATTTTCTCAATTACTACGTTTATTTCGAAGGTTCGATCCGGACAGAAACTCGAGCGGCTCGAATTTTTAATCTTTAATCTTAGGTGTTTATTTCGAGGAATAGAGGATTAGCACGAGCGATATCTAACCTCACTTTATTATTATTTCGTTTCTTGTTTTGTTTTCAAATTTCAAGAGAGTGTTTGAGTGGTTTGAGACAAAATTTTAACGTTTGTGTCTTTTTTAATATATAATTTAGTATTTTCATGGAAAAAAAAAAGAAATAGAAATGTTTGGAGCGAGGAAGAAACCATTTTTTTCCTTGAACTATTGAAAGAAAAAAAAATATTAAAATTATTGGATGGGAAAAGATTTAAAGCAGCAGAAGTGTATAAAGCCCTGGAAAAAGAAATGCAAAAGGAGGGGTATAATAAGGATGCAACGATGATGAGGACTAAATTCAAAAATCTGAAAGGCAAGTCTTATTTATTTAAAATGGAAATTGTTTAGCAGTCATAAGCGTTAGGATTTAAGAGTGTTTTTTTTATAGCTGAGTATTACAAAGCCAAAAAACGTAACGATCAAAGCGGAGTTGATCCCAGATATTGCCCTCATTTTGAATTGTTGGATGAGCTTTTGGGAGATCGTCCATCAGTGACTATGGAAGGGGTAGACACCTCCCTAACTGAACAAGGGACTGATGAAGATGTTTCTGCTTCACAGGAAGAAAGCCAGTTGACAAACCAGAACATCTCGGAGACAATGGAGCAGTCGAATCGAGAGGAGAATACTGAAGACGGAGCTGAAAATTCTGACTCTGAAGTACCATCAGGAGTTTATGAAGTGTCAAGTGATGGGTACCTATCACCTCTTCCAGCTGCGTTACCAGAAGGTGAAGCATCAACATCCAATGCTACACCTAAAGTAGCCTCAGACTTTAGAAAGTCAAAGAGTCATAGTGTTACTCCATTATCAAGAAACCCAACTGCTGTTTTGATGGAGCTTAAAGATTCCGTACAAGTTTGTCTAGCAAAAATTGCAGAAAAAGAAGAAAAAGATGACCAATTTATTGAAAAACTTTTAAATGGTCAATCGCATCTCTTGAAACAAATGACCAGAGACTTTATTGAGGGGATAGGTGAACTATTCAAGAAAAAAAGGAAGAGATATTATTCTTCATCTTCCGATGAGTCTGAGGATGATAAAAGGAAAAAAAGGAAATAAGCCATTCATTAATAGATACATATGTATATTACTTTTTCTCATAATAAAGTTATGCCTTTAATTTTATTAACAACTTGGTTTGCGGGCCATAAATTATCTTTTATGCCATATATATTGTATATACATTGTATATATATATATATATATATATATATATATATATATATATATATATATATATATATATATATATATATATACCCTCGGGCCAGAGGCCCTCAGCTTTGTAAGAATGTCGCCCTCGGAACAAAATCATCTATAGTACTCTTGATACGTAAATAACTATTCAAATGCATACAACATAAAAAAGTATAATTATATATAATATACCTACAAAATTTTAATAAAAAATGAAAAAAAAATAGGCCTCAGCTCAGCTAGAATTTACTTAAAAATTTAAATTATATTACTTGCCTAGATGCCCTTAAAGGAACTGTATTACTAAGGTAACTACACAAATGTTCTCTTAAATTATGTGCTTCATATGAATCTCTAACGCTTGTAGGTCTTCCCAAGAATGGTTGGGGCAAAATAATATCTGCCTTTTCAACTTCTTCTATCCAATTATGAATAAAGTGACACTTTCTTGTTTCTGCAATGTTATGAAGAGTGCAGCATGCTGCCACTAACTTAGGTATAAATTTGTAATTCATATCACATTGTTTTAGTAGCCTCCTCCAGCGAGCCTTCAGTCTACCAAAAGCATTCTCTACAACCACCCTTCCAGCACTTGTATAAACGTTGTAAGAATCTTGTTCAGGTGTTATTCCACGATTTGCATATGGCTTCATTAGCCAGGGAAGCAGTGGGTATGCAGGATCACCTAAAATCACATAGGGGATTGGTATTCCTCCTAAATCAATTGAACCCTGAAAAAAATAGTATTACATAAGTATATATATATTTATATATTAAATAAGTAAGAGTTACAGATTTTTTTACACCTATAGGTAGGTACTTACCTTTGGCAGACCCAGCTAGAACTGAAGCGTCATGTGTTGATCCAGGATTTTTAATACATATGTTCCAGAATCGGTACTTTGAATCTACCACTCCTTGAAGAATAATGGAAGCCCAGCCTTTTCTATTAATAAAGTCTCTATGACCTTCTGTAGGAGGCCTTACTGGAATGTGTGTTTCATCTATTGCGCCAATGATATTAGGGAGATGTGTAGATCGTTCAAAATATGATGCAATTTCAATAGCTTCTGCTTCAGATGGTATTTTGATATACTGTGGAAGCAAAACTTTAATCCCTACATTTACAAATTCATGGACAATGTTATGTACAGTGGACTTGTGAATTCCAAAAGTATGACCTACAACTCGGTATTCACAAACACTTGCCAAATAAAATAAGGCCACTGCAACTTTCTTTTCGACACATGAAATGATCCTAGCATTATTTAAAAAATTCTCCTTTGGCTTTAGTTCCTCTTTCAGCTCTTCCACAATAAATCTAAATGAGTCTTTTCCCACGCGAAAATTTTCCAACCAATCTTTTTCAGAAAATTCCTTCTTTACAATATTTTCCCACCATTCATAGCTTCGTTTTTTATTCTTTGAACGTTTCCGTTTCTTTAAATTTTCTATAAGTGCCTTGTTCACCAATAGCTGGTGAGTAAGCAGTTGCATCTTCATGCTTTTCCAATAATTATAAAAATTAATTTGCAAGAACCAAACTTTAAAATTCCATAACTTACCAATTTCTTTCACGTTTTCTTCGTTTCCATTCCATTAGTATCAGGGTTGCATTTAAAACAATGCTGCTAGCACACATAAAGTACATGGCAGAAATTATTGCAATTTCCTTTTTACTAAGTTTCATGACCCCGAATAATAAATTATTAAAAAGCAAAACAAACTGTATGTAAACAAAACAAATTTTCCAGCATTTCTAGCTTCACAGCTGATTTTGACAATTATGACAGTTTAAATGTGAATGAAGTTAAGCACAAAAGCTGGATCCGGATTAAAAATGGGTTAAAACGTTTATTTCGTAAATTTGAAGCGGCTTACCTTAAGCCAATCCTCTTAAATTGTTGGGATTGGATTAATTTTTCTAAGCCGCTTGAACAATTAATCTCGATCGTTTATTTCGAGGATTAACGTGGGATTTATCAAGCCGCTTGAGTTTCCATCCGGATTGAACCTTCGAAATAAACGTAGTAAATGACTCGACCGATTTTCAAAAACGAAGCGGGAAAGTATAGAGTATAGGTACCACTTGACCCCCCTTCTCATTTGAAAAAAATTGGGGGATGAATTTTCAACCCTCTAAGCGGGGGTTTAGAGGGTTGAAAATTTTGCAATAATTTTTGGGGCAAAAGTTGTCCCCCTCACAAACAAAATTAACGTGTTTTTGGATTTTCTGAAAAAAAAATTACCCTGGCCGTTATGTCTTACGGATGCGGAACGTTTTCGATGGGCCACCCTGTATGATTAAAGATTGCCAAGTCGCGCACCACAGACTGAAATCCGACCACTTTATTTTAGATATACTGAGTTATTCAAAACACATGTTGATTATATGGAAAGGACAAAACTTCTCCATTCAGGACAGCAACTAGCCAATGATAGAGCAGAAGCTGGCCGACTTAATTCGAACCGCATTAATATTGGTAGGAGTTCGGGGCCAATATCTTTTGGATTTGCAAGTTTGGAAAATGCAGAAAATGTTGATAGTGTTCCTTCATCGCCAATAAGTAGTACCCATTCATCATCAAGGTATGGTTTTTATTAAACAATTTTTATACTGTATTAATATTAGTAGTGGGAACTATCGAATGAATACTATCGAAACATTCGATAGTTGCAATTCATTCGAATAATTCGATAGTTAGTAAGAAAACATTCGTTGAAAACTATTCGAATAAAAATTATCGAATAGATCCGTCATCTGCCTTGAAATATTGTATTCTAGTAATTCGGCAGCACAAACCATTCATTTATAAAATTCATTCATTTATGAAATTCATTTATTCGTCAGGATCGATTATAATAAAATATTAACTGAATTTTAGTTGTCGCCCGGCGACGCGACGTAGACGGCGACGCGACGGCGACGCGACGTAAAGCTTTCTGAAAAACCCGACAGCGGTCGGTGGCAATGCTATGAAAGAAGCCGGCATCTTTGATTTTTTGCGGAGTCAGATATAGATAAGGACACATTTTTTTTTATTGAGGTGCTAGTATTTACACAGAAAATACATTATGAAGGGCCCTGTTGCCATATTTTGGTATTAGTTGGTATTAGCAAAGAATATTATTGTTTAGCTTTAGTTAGTTAGGGATAGTATGTCTATATATTCTGCATTTTTTTTATTAATATTCTGTTGTTACACTGCAATAATACTTGTTATTTTGGATGTAGGAAAATTATTTTTAATGTTTTTAAGCAAAGACTGGTTTAATAAATAATAATAACAGTAATAATTTGTTATACCTATTAGCAACAAAATTTAAAATCATTTAATATAAATATTTTTTTTAAGTAGTAGCAAAATATAAACAACAAATTAGATGTCAAAATTATTTATATTAGATCCTATTTAAAAATAATATAGTCTCTAAATTTTTTGTGTGTGGCAACGTTGGTTATTAAATAATAATAATTACAGAACTAATTTGTTATATTAACAAGAAATTTTAAAATCATGAAATATAAACATTTATTAATTTTCTAAGCATGCAGTGTAATGGAAGGAAAATATAAATAAAAAATTAGAAATCAAAATTATTTATATTAGATGCTTTATATTACTATTTAAAAATTATATTTACTTTTACTGGCATTTACTTTAAAAAATAAATGAAATATTTCTTCATAAAAAACTACATGTAAGAGAATTAGCATAAACAAAATACAAACATCGTTAACTTTTTTTTTAAATTGGCACGTGTAAAACTTTCATTTTAATTTTCTCACCCCATAGTTTGAGTTCGATAACCCCATTTACTTAACCACATTACTTAAATATGATTATTAAGTTCAACTAATTCATATTATTAAAACATCTAAAATACAAATATGTATTTTAAAATTAATTAATAAGTTCATCTCATCTCTCTTAAAAATTGTTACTTCTCAAAATTTCCCATTAAAAAATAGACCATATACCATATAAAATTAAATAATTGAAATATCGGACTACGGAAAACCACACAAATTTTCGGAAAAATTATGACCACCTGCACATGCACACAATCGTCAATAAATAAAATTAAAAAATAACTACTATTTTAGTATTTTAACTATTTTAATAAACGCAAAAATAGCACGGTATTTATACGGCGAAGTTATAAAAATTTGGAAGAACTAATAATGCACTGACGCATACAAAAATCAAACGAATACTAAATTTCATTTATCAAAAGCATTCGATAGTCGTGGCTCAACGATAGTCATTTAGTCGCACGGCGAGGTTGTCACATATGCTTTAGTATACAAATGAATGAATGATTTTATTCGAATAAAACCATTCGATAGTTGAAATCATTCATTCATTAACCATTCGATAGTCTAATTCATTCGATAGTTCCCATCGCTAATTAATATCACTTAAGAGTTACAATTAAATATTATATCTAATAGGATTTGATCTATTTTTGTGATATAGAAACAGGCTTAGGAAGGAGTCAAATTTTTTCATTCATTCGTACATTAAATAGGGTAGAGATGTTTTGAAACCTCTTTTTGTCAGTTTTGTTTGACTTTTCTTTTGATAAATGGAAAATTCTTATGGGTTTGATGTATTTATTTTCGGTAATTATTGGGAAAAGTGGAAATCGGCCCATTTTCACCAAAATTGGTATACAGCCTATTTTGAGGTCGTAGATTACGAATCGGAACTTGTTTCCTGGCGGTCTCTTACCCAGAGAGAAACTAATAACTAAAGTGAGAGGGCTTGTGGAATAGGGCATTTCGTAGACAAGTTTATTTTGTCACCGCGCATCCCAGACGCGCATAGCGTTTAGGCGGTCAAAAAAGGAAGTTTGCAACTTTGCAAGTTAAACATTTGACAGGATTAATTAGATTGTCAGTAGCTTTTTCTATTTCTTAGCTCTAGAAGGAGATAACGTAAATCTGTTGATAAACGGAGCAAATCGGAGTAATAAATTGTTTTTAACTGAATGTGCCTGTTCTTTTAGCTTGTCAGAAGAGAAGATTATTGTCATTATTGATTATTTCAGATTCCACGATTATTCGGCATTTTTGTATTTTTTGTTTTGTGATTGAGACCCAGACAAAACGTTTCGATTATTTCCACTATTTTTTATTCCATTTATTTTAAATTGCCAGAAACACATCAGAATATATCACAACCACAACTATAGGTTAATCAGTACTAAATTTTAAAGATAGAAAACAATTATTAATATAGAGTGTACTATACAATGTCCTGCTTATTTATGAAATGACTTTCCCTTCAAATGTGAGGAATACCAGTAAAATAAAACATAATTTTTGGTTTGGTTTGGTGTTTGATATTCTAACCACATCTATTACAAACCTTAAGTGCTTTTAGTGAGTAACTGTATTTTTTATTATTCTTTGTGTATCCTGTAAAGTAAAAAAAAATATATATTTCAAGAAATATAAAAACAATGCAATAGATATCAAACAGATTCATAAAAACTACTTACAATTATTGTACATAATTATATATTTCAAGTGTTATTTGATGTTTGGTCCCATTACCAACATTACCTTATTTAGGTCTTCTCTACTAACTCAACTTTTAAACCTGTTTTAAACCTTCTTTATATTTTAAAACTGATTTACAACAATCTGTAATGCCCGCGCTGTTTCCTGAAATATAAGTTTTAATGTATTTATTATCATATAGTACATATTACAAACCTGAAAATTACTGATACGAGGAAACTTCTCAAAATAATTAGAGACCTTTTTACAAACATCTGGACTAATTTATTTTCACGAATTTGTGAACGAGTCATTGTTTTCTAATACGTTTTTAAGCGTTTTACACATTTTGAATATCTTCCAGCCTATTCGTCAATTCTTGATCGGTGAAAAGATTATTTATAACTATATAATTAGTACTGCAGGTTGCAGGTTAAATAAAAGAACAAAATCAAGTAGAATTTGTGAATAAAAACTCAAAAAATAATGAAAACATTTAGAAAAAGGAACCGTAAACGTCAATGTCAGCCAAGTGTCAGAGTTCAATTGAATTTACCACAGATTATCAATTTGAACGATTTGAAGTACAGTCGATTCCAGTTTAGAGATTTTCGTTTTTTAAGCCTCCCATACTGAAGTCCGCCATATTGGGAAGTTTTAAATGAATACAAGTATACACTACACGCGAACTACAACTACTCTCTCAATTATTCTGGAAACACGAGAATTTTCGGTTCTATAGCGCCATCTCTCGATAACCTTCATTGCCTTGATCTTCATCTATATTCCTCTTACAGAAATCTGCCATTATAGTTTGGTTACTCTATCGAAATCTTTCTTTCAGTTAGTCCTTAAATATTTCCTTCAGTTAGTGGTGCTTATTTCTTATTTGATTGAAAGATGTTGCTAATGCTAATGATTCAGTTAGTTATACAGCCCAAAAATAAGAAAAATGTCGGCAAAAATATTAATTTCTAGATTATCTAATATTTATTTAGTTACCTTAAAACAATATCATAAGAGTAAATTAATTAGTAATTTATGAGGGATAATATTTACGGTACAGTACCTGTGGTATAGGTCATGCAAAAATAAATTTTGGAATTCTGTATTTCTATGTATTTCTGTATAATTATTTAAACATATTATATTTTATTTAGTTTATACAAGGAAATAGATAATTCGGCATCAAAACAAGAAGTAGTAAAAGTAGAAAAGTCGCAAGAAACAGATTTAGTTAGTTTAGAAAATAAAAGTATGGTGACATCTCCTGTAACTCCTCCAAACAATAGTGGTGGGCGAATTCATACGAAGAAAGAACAACGAAGTGCTAACACTCTATATCAAGAACTGAGCTTTCAGGTAGACTCTAGCCCCTATCTTTTTTATATAGTGTTTTATACATATGTTTTTAGGACGGAGATGGAGATGATGATACCGGTGACATTACAGGTGGATGGGTTCATCCAGGCGAATATGCATCATCAGGTAAACACATTAATACCATTTCTATTTCTCTCGGTATTTTTTTATTTATGAGGGTATCGACATGTAAAAAATGTTCAAATAGTTTGGTGTATGATTAATTTAAAAATTTTATTAACTTTTATTAATTTTTTTTTATTAATTTATTTTATTAACTTTATTAATTTTTATACTGTCTGAAATACCTGTTGATATAGTCTGTGAAGCGAATAACTTTTTTAAAGCGAATTTGGCAGTTCCCGCGGGCTTTTCTAGTGTTAATTTTATTAGGTTAGCAACTTGCGGCCCTGCTGACGCAATGCCGTCTCTAATAAAACGGCCTCACTTGACTATGGCTGAACTCGCACTCCACAGTCAATGTAGATAGTTTTAGTGTTAAGAATAATAATTTAAAAAAATATGTGGTCATCTTTTGACAAGTTTATATTAGTTTATTAATTGTAGTAAACATTATGTGGTGTGTGGTGTGAATATTTTATATGTAATTTTTGGATTATATTCGACACTATTTTTTTCATATGACACAACACTGATGAAGGCTGTAATGTTACCCGAAACGTTTTTTTTAAGCCAAATAAAAATAATGAAAAACCAAATGAAAACTTAATCAGCGTTTTTCCCGAACCTAGATCCCAAGAAAATCAAAAATTTTAGAATAATTTTACATATAAAATGACAGTGATCTATATTTCATAGCCATCGCTGACGCCTTTTTTTCTATGATATTGTATTATTTGCAAATATAATTTTCAAACATTGATACTTGTAAAATATACATATAGATTTTGTGAATGCAAATAATAATATATCACTAACTATTAGTAGATATTGAATGTTTTTTTGTTAAATTAGATCGATTTTTAAACCCCAAAATTTAAAATATATTTTACATTTTATCCATTATCTGATGTACTTATTCATTATTTGTATATTGTAAAACGTTTGCTGCATTTGTGTGGTTCATAGTTTATTTGCCAAAGTATTTAATACTATAAATAGGTATATGTATTGTATTTATTAACTGTATATTATGTATATTTCATGTAAACTATATCATTTTTAAAATACAATGTTTATGAATGAACATGTATCATGAATACATCTTTTCCATGTATTCTACAACATATTTATTAATCCGTAGTATCTAACTAGCGTGACGTCATCAATCTCTCTCCGAGGCTGTTCTATTAGAGACGGCATTGGTCTGATACTTAGAAATGTCAAAAGCTGATGACATTTTACTTTTGGCAATTATGACATTTAGTGTTGATTTTTGCAAGAAGAGGAAGAACTGTCACTTGTTTTATTATTTTCCTTTTCTATATCACGAAAGTAAAAGTTAGTTACCTCTCTGATTCGTTTAGGCACTCAGTTTAAAGAATATCAGTAACTTTTTTGACAGAGGGATTTTATATTTGTCATGTTGGTAAAAAATAACGGTCAAAATTCAAAGTTATTCATTTTATAGACTATAGTAACTTTGCTGTACTAAAGCAATATATTATTTTCTTTATTTATTTTTGAGAAAGAAATAATCGGCGTCAAAGAAGGCTGGGCCTGACAATCGATGACAATTTTGGCGAGTTCAATCACTAGACGTCATTTACTAAAATTTAATATAAAACTTGGTCAAAATTTGTCACTGATTATAGAAAGATTTAAAAAAAAATTATTTTTAAACTTTCTTCTATAATCATTCATTATTTTTAGATTCTTTAAAAAAGATAGAACGTTACCATACACAATTCTACTTAAAACCATTTTTTTTTCTCGAATCTTGGTAATTTCTTTGTACCGCTGTCTAACAAATTATAATGTAAGTTAACCTCGTATTATCTTACTCATTAAAGTACCGAGCTCATTAAGCTACAGATTAGAAACGTCCAGGTTGCGTCATAGTAGTTTTTTAGTACATATACAGGGTTGTTCACCATATACGACGCGGAGTATTGTAGCTAAACTATTTAATTTTTGCAAATTGTAAGTTTTGGGTTCGTTGAAGGACTATTAGAGCTATAATTTAAAAATAATTTTACTAGATACAGAGTGTCCCAAATAAATAAAAAATATCAAAGTTGTATTTTTTAAAATGGAACACCCTGTATATTATTATATTTTTAGTTTCTACGATTAAAATAAACGTAAATTTGATTAAAGTTTACCGCATTTTAATCTTACCGTTTTTGAAATATTTAGGTTTTTGTCAAAATACAGTAATAATTATAATGCTTTATTTCTATATATATTCTTATTTCTAGGCGTATTTAAGTTTTTAAAACCAAATATTGTACTGAAGTATTTCTATTCACTAAATTTTGTGTTGCAATAATAAAAATTATACTATCTTATACAGAGTGTCTAAAAATTTATTTTAAATAATAACTAGTTTTAAACGGCAATAACTTCTTTAATTTAAATGGAACACCCTGTATATTTTATGAGAATCAGATGCACAATTTAATTTTCTATCAAATTATATTATATCATTTTTTACCTATGTCTTCAGGTTTTCGTAAAAAATGCATTTTCTTATAATTTAGACCTCAATATCAATATACCTATGGAATATTGACATTTTAGATTATTTTTTAAGGTGTAACAAATTTTTTAAGGGTACAGATACCAATATTGTCAATATAGTTCGTTTATGTCATTAAAAAATAAAAAAAAAAATGTTTAAATATTTGTAGAAAGGACCAATTAATATGATTTCAGTATTCAAACTACATTAACGGACTGCTTGCATTGATTATTAATTATTGCTCCAAATACTAAAAACTGAATTTTGTATGTATATTAGACAGTGTGGTAAAAAGTAACACCTTAAAAATTTTATGTCATTTTTTGACGAATGCTTATTTATAACAACAGAGATGTTCATTTTTATTACTTATTATTAGTATATTGATTTCTGATTCCAAATCCCCATTTATTTAGAATAATTTATTAACTAACACAATTAAATATGTAATTAATTAATATTTGGGCGGAAATACTGGTGGTATATTTAATTAATGGTATAGTCTTTTATGAAGATTTAAATAGTTTTATTTTTGTATACAAATAGGCTAGTAATATTATCATTTTTAGCACCTGTACATTTTGTACATTTGTTATTTTAAAAACAATCTAAAATGTCAATATTCCATGGGTATATTGATAAATGAGGTCTAAATTATTAGAAAACGCTTTTTCTACGAAAACTTGAAGAGATAGCTAAAAAATGGCATAATACAATTTGATGGACAATAAAATTGTGCATCTGATTCTCCTAAAATATACAGGGTGTTCCATTTAAATTAAATAAGTTATTGCCGTTTAAAGCTAGAAATTATTTAAAATAAATTTTTAGAAACTCTGTATGAAGTAGTATTATTTTTATTATTGCAACACAATAACTAATCAGTAATTAAACTTCAGTAAATATTTAGTATTAAAAACTTTGATACCCTTGGAGAAATGAAGCTTTGAAATTTTTACTGCAATTTCACAAAATTGAAAATATTTCAAAAACGGTAAGGTTTAAGGGCGATAAACCTTTATCAAATTTACTTTTATTTTAATCGTAGAAACTAAAAATGTAATAATATACAGGGTGTTCCATTTAAAAAAATACAACTTTGATATTTTGTATTGATTTGGGACACTCTGTATGTTGTAAAAATATTTTTAAATTGTAGCTCTAATAGTCCTTCAACCAACCCAAAACTTACAATTTGTAAAAATCTAATCGTTTAGCTACAATACTCCGTGTCGTATGTGGAAATTGAACAACCCTGTGTATATTTCTAATTTTTTTAATACAAAAATAAAGTATATTTTTTTAGATATCAAAATTTTTGATATTTGCTTTTTTGCTTGGGCATATTTGTTAAACTGGTATTAAACTACATACTAAAATTTACTAAATATACCCCCATAATAGCACTTTATACTTACTAATATATTTTTGCTTTGTCTCTTAAATTCGCTTTGGATGGGCAGTCAACGACAATTTTTATGGTAAGTTATTACGGTTTTTTAGTTTATAGTCGTAGCTCAGATTAGGTGTCCTATAAGTATACAGATAAAAATCTTGTCCCTAATTCGTGTTACGAAAATTGTTTTTTATGACGATGTGCAAACGAGTAAAATTTCCTGTGCGCAAAAATAAACTCGCGTAAAATAACAATAAACAGCGTAATAGAGAGATATCGCTAAACCGAACAGCGTGCATGGACGTTAATAAGGCCAGGTGTTTTTTCCTTTACATGAGGTGCTATTAACTCTCTTCATTTATAGTTATCGGATCGGAAAGAATTCTATTCGAAAGAAGCTTTGAATTTAAAACTTTAAAATTGTTTTAAAAAACTTAAAACTTTGAAATTGTTTTATTTACTAGGTATTTTAAAACTAAAGAGCTAAAGTGCTTATTTCCATTGCTTTATTGTTCAACGTCTGCCAGTGGGTTTAGGGCAACAAGTAACAAATTCTCTTAGAAGGGCTAAATCGTCATCTGCTGTAAACCTAAGCCTCTTTATAGGTTCTTTAATATTGGAAGAGGTGGAATCCATATTTTGGGCAATATATCAAATTACCTAATAAAACTAAAATAATAATTCAAAACGATTCAAACATAACCTAAAATAAAAGATCTCGCCGGCCGGCCCCGGTTGTCAAATACCCGCACATGCCCATTTAAGCAATTTTTAAACGTTATTTAGAATTAGAGCTTGGTGTAATTGATCCGCAAATTACGTCAGGTGGTAACGTTATTTGCGGGTGTTGCGTTAAAAATTGACTCGCGCATATCGTAACCATGATAAGGTACGCGTAAATACTGCATGACGCTATTCGGTTTTCCGATATCTCTCTAATAACCGTGCCGGTCAGGCGCTGTGCACAATTTTACAGGCCATAAGTGGGCGTGCTATGTGCGCAAACTAGTAACCTAACTAGTGGCCGATTCCGAAAACTGGAACCACGAAAAACAAAGTTTATAATCTGTATAATTTGTGGTCGTAGTGTTGTAACATACAATTCCAGATGTTTTTCAAAAGTGGCTCACCTCTATACAGTACGTCTGTCCGTTCTGTAGCTACGGGGTATCCGTGAGAGGGGAAACGATATTCTCTCCATGTTTTTCGTAAAAAATTAGACGACGCGTCCCATCAATGAAAATTCGACAAATTTGCAAGTAGCCAATAACATTAGTGGGCGGAGCGATTTACGGTGACCTACTCGTCAAGTCGACGTATAAAATATATTGCTGTTTATTTAAATGTTTTTTGTCCGCATTCCTTTCATAGACACAGATCCAGCAGACGTACTTAACTTTTAATTTTTTCAGATAAAAAAACGAACTTTGGTATGCATAGTATATTATGACATAATTGAATTAAAAAATGGCATTTTAAATTTCAATGTAGAGCGCCATGGCTGTGTTAAAATCATTAATTTTTAATCAAGAAGCTTTGGAAAAATTGATTTGATCGTCTGTTTTTCCTGGCCAGTTATAAGATGCCCAAATCGTATTTTTAATCATCAGTCTCAAATTTAATGAAGGTTGGCTCATTAGCATATTTGGAAAAATATTTTTTTACGAATGGTTTAGTACCAGATACTTGTATTTCGAGTACCACATACTTTTTTTTATTACCACTTACATTTTTTTAAACTGAAAATGTCAATTCAGAATGCCCTTTTAAAGTCAAGTAAAATAAATCAAAGTCATTTCCGAAGTGAACGAAACTAATTGAATATATTTGAAATCAATCCTCATTTATATTATATACTAACATATCAAATCTCGTTTTTTGTAGTAGAATTTTTGCTGTAGTGTAACTGCAAATAGCATGTTTTTTCCTGGGTGAGGTGCTACTAACCAGAGCTTATGAACTTATACTTCCACATGGATTATTGTTTTAAATATTGACTAGCTGTAATGATAACAATAATTATTTATTATTTCAACAAGACAAATTCAGTTACAGAGTACTAAATACCTATATTATTATATAAAAGTAGCAAAATTAAAAAGTATATAAATATTTTTGGACGATTCCTTATTTATATAAACAAAAAATTGAAGCCGTTGGCTGCAATAAACAGGCAGCTCCACTTTTTAACGAAAATTAAATATTTACTGAATTGTCCTTTAAAAAATAGTCCGATCGTTCTTTGCAACAATCAGGTCTCTGAATTCAACAATACATAAATGGCAACATTATTTTGAGCTGCCTTGCTTTCAGTTGTATTCAGAACAGAGCAGCTCTTGGAGCTCCCTACTTTGGCTAGCAAAATTTATTAAAATGGAGCTGCCTGGTTATTGCAGGCACCCCTTCAATTGCTAACCATCTAACCAGCTACCGTATTTATTAAAATACTAATTACTAACTACATTTAGTTACGAGCAACACAACACTAATTTATAATTTTTGTTATTCAATATATACCCGTAATATTGTTTCAGCAAATTTTTGTAAATATACCACTGAAACAGATATTTTTCTAAATAAAAATATTAATTTTATTAATGTAACTAGATTTAGTACCCACAGATACAAATTTTCCAGTGGGCGTGTGTACAGGGTTGTTCACCACATACGACACGGAGTATTGTAGCTAAACGATGAGATTTTTACAAATTGTAAGTTTTGGGTTCGATGAAGGACTATTAGAGGTACAATTTAAAAATAATTTTACAAGATACAGAGTGTCCCAAATAAGTAAAAAATATCAAAGTTGTATTTTTTTAAATGGAACACTCTGTATGTTATTTCATTTTTAGTTTCTACGATTAAAATAAAGGTAAATTTGATTAAGGTTTATTATACTTAAACCTTACCGTTTTTGAAATATGTTCAATTTTGTGAAATTGCAGAAAAAATTTTAAGGCTTCATTTCTCCAAGGGTATCAAAGTTTTTAATACTAAATATTTACTGAAGTTTATTTATTGATCAGTTATTTTGTTGCAATAATAAAAATAATACTACCTTATACAGAGTGCCTAAAAATTTATTTTAAATAATTATTAGCTTCAAACGGCAATAACTTGTTTAATTTAAACGGAACACCTTGTATATTTTACGAGAATCAGATGCACAATTTAATTGTCTATCAAATTACATTATACCATTTTTTACCTATCTCTTTAAGTTTCCGAAGAAAATGCATTTTCTTGTAATTTAGAACTTATTTATCAATATACCCATGGAATATTGACATTTTAGATTATTTTTAAAGATGTACCAAATTTTTAAAGAGTACAGATACTAATATTGTCGATATAATTTGTTTATTTTATTAAAAAATAAAAAAACTGTTTAAATATTTGTTAAAGGGGACCAATTAATATGATTCCAGTATTCAAACTACATTAACTGACTGTTTGCGTTGATTAATAATAATTGCTCCAAATACTAAAAAATTGAATTTTGTATGGGTATTAGACAGTGTCATAAAAAGAAACACCTTAAAAATGATATTTCATTTTTTAATAAATACTTATTTATAACAACAGAGACTTTAATTTTGATAACTTATTATTATATTGATTTCTGACTCAAATCCACATTTATTTAGAATAATTTTTTAACGAACACAATTAAGTATGTAATTAATTACTATATGGGCGGAAATAATGGTGTTATGTTTAATTAATGGTATACTCTTTTATAAAGATTTAAATAGTTTTCTTTTTGCATACAAATGGGCTAGTAATATTATCGTTTTGCTAAAAACGATAATATTACTAGCTTGTACATTTTATACATTTATTGCTTTAAAAACAATATAAAATGTCAATACTCCATGGGTATCTTGATAAATAGGGCCTAAATTATAAGAAAATGCATTTTCTGCGAAAACTTGAAGAGATAGGTAAAAAATGGTATAATACAATTTGATAGACAATGAAATTGTGCATCTGATTCTCCTAAAATATACAGGGCGTTCCATTTAAATTAAAGAAGTTATTGGCGTTTAAAGCTAGAAATTATTTAAAATAAATTTTTAGACACTCTGTATAAGGTAGTATTATTTTTATTATTGCAACACAATAACTGATAAACTTCAGTAAATATTTAATATTAAAAACTTTGATACCCTTGGAGAAATGAAGCTTTAAAATTTTTACTGCAATTTCACAAAATTGAAAATATTTCAAAAACGGTAAGGTTTAAGTATAATAAACCTTAATCAAATTTACCATTATTTTAATCGTAGAAACTAAAAATGTAATAATATACAGGGTGTTCCATTTAAAAAAATACAACTTTGATATTTTTTACTTATTTGGGACACTCTGTATCTTGTCAAATTATTTTTAAATTGTACCTCTAATAGTCCTTCATCGAACCCAAAACTTGAAATTTGTAAAAATATAATCGTTTAGCTACAATACTCCGTGTCGTATGTGGTGAACAACCCTGTATATGTTTCGTCTATCGAAATCGGCCTCTCTTTCTCTCTCTCTCTCTCGTTGGATATACTTTGGAAGTCTTTAATAAAGTGTGTAAAGTGGATTTTTTAAGTCTATAATAACCGGATTTACTGATAGTTGGAACTGTCACATATTTTATTCTTAACTACTCTTTTGTCCTAGCCCCCTTAGTTCAGTCATTGGGGATTTTTGCTTGGAAAAAAGTCCGGAAGTTTTGCAACTTTGCAGGTTTATAGGTTTTGGGGTCCCTAACTAAAATCCATAAAATGCACATTTTCAGACTTGCCACCGGCGCCGTCATCTTGCCAAGGTGGCGCTCACAATCGGTATTTTGTGAATATCTCCAAAACTACGCGGTTTTCGCGAAAATGCGAAATTTTGAAGAGAGAATAAAATTTCCTATAAAAAAGGTTTTATGAAAATTTTCGCTAAAGTCAACCGTTTAAGCACAAAATCCCTGGAAATGTTACAATTTTGCGTAAAATATGGTATATTATGTATAGTCGATTTTCCGAAATCAAATGTCGATTAGGGTTCATTAAAACTAGTTTTAGTTTACTTTCTTCAATTTTGTCATAAAACAGTGGCGTATCATTAATTCGCTTATTAATTTATGAATAATTAATTTTAATATTGAAAATGTGTACTTGTTTCCACACCACCCAAGAGGTAAAGTACATGGCACGTTTATTTTAATGTTTTTATACGTTAATTCTTTCATTTAACGGAGGCCTACTCCACTAGATAAATTAAAAACTTTAACTTATCTGCACAAGCCCGACGGATCTGGCTCATTAATGTCAAAGTCGATCGTGTCTGCTGTGCTGGGCTCATCAGGGTGGTTTTCAATACGTCCAACTCTTCATCTTCAGCCGCCAGAGGGATATCTACAGGCAAGTCCAACTCCTCTTCATCAGATTCGTCGAGTGACACTTCGGTGTCGTTGTCACAGGATTTCCCATTGCACTATGCACAAATCATTGAACATTTTAATCCTGCTTTTCTACATCCGCAGGCTTTACCGTAGTTGTTGGTTTTATGTTGTTTACAGGATAAAAATGCCAATAGGGATTTTGGAGTTGGATCTTTCAACGTTGTGACTGGAGTAATGTCTGTTTTTGTTTTCTTCCAACCCCATTGGTCGGCATCTTTGGTGCAACCAGACCAATGCTGAACCTGGTGGTAAGTTCGCAATGAAAGCTGTCCAGCACGACAATTAATTATTCATAAATTAATGAGCGAATTAATGATACGCCGCTGTTTCATGACAAAATTGAAGAAACTAAACTAAAACTAGTTTTAGTGAACACTAATCGACATTTGATTTCGGAAAATCGACTATATGTATTAGAGATGAGCAAAACTGCGATTTTCCAATCGCTGTTGAAACTGCGATTGTGATTTGTAAATCGCTGCGACTGTAACCTGCGATTGCGATTTTGATATTTTTAAATTGATACGCTGTAAACTGGGAAGCTCAATCCCAAAATTTTTGAGAAAAAACAGAATAAATAGGGGAATACTTTTTTTTAATAAAATCTTACAAAGAAACTGTTGGGTGTTTCGATGCCATATGCCTTTTAAAGTGTTTTTTATTATATTTTTGCTCTGCACACATATTGCACTTAAAATTTTCATCAATTACCAAAAAAAAATCAAACCAAACCAAACCACAAATAACTTAGTTTCCTTTTTTAAACATTTTTGATAAGAATAGACCGAATAAATTTAACAGGGAAAAAAATACATAAAATGTTCAAAATATTCGAATGTGCTTTTAGACAGTCTGTAGGTATACTAACTAAAAATTTATTATAAAAAAGGTTGCCGCCAACCTTAATTCAGATAACGAGAAAAAAAACTGTTTATTTTATCTTTTTTTTTCTTTTAAAAATATTTTCTTTATATGTAACTCAAAAGAAGCCGACGCCGACGGCTTTGATACGGCCCGTCCAGTGCAAGTGCAAACTTTCGAACTTTTAGATAAATAAAAGGACAATATCACATTTTATTATATTTGAAATTTCTCTAAAATGAAAAAACTGATTGTAAAGGATGTATTTAAATTAACATAGCAGCCGATCCACAACAGTTAGTATATTCAGAAAATTATATTATATTATGGATTGTTATAAAAATGTTTATAATAATATAATATACATATAACAAAATATAATAAAGAGAAAGGGCTGTTTCTTTTTCGTGCTCTATATCTTCTAGTAAATAAAGGATAAAAATAGATCATTTTTTATAATTTGAATCCAAAACTGTCCTTGAATGAATTATTTTATCTGAATCATTACCTGGGAGCAACTGTAACTATAATTAGTCATAACCGAAAACAAGAATTTTTAACCTTCTAAATCCATAATTATATTATAAATCTAAAACTATTATCAAAATTTAAAACTAAAAAATTATACATATATATTATGCGGTATATAAACATATATAAGCCTATTTTCCAACGCTTCATAAAAATAACGGGGCCCTGATGGCGAATGTGATTTTGCGATCTAGTCTAGGCCGATGTGTTGAGAGCTGCGAACGAAAATCACAATCGCTGCTCTTCGTTGGCGTGCCCACTCCCGATGCCGCGCCGCCGGTGCCAACGAAAATCGCAATCGCAATGTTGGGATGAGCTGCGATTTTCGTTCAGCTCCTCGTTCGCCTGCCCACTGCCGATGCCGTGTTGATGACGCGCCGCCGCCAGCCGGTGCGTACGAGAATCGCAATATTGCGATTTTCGTTCCCAGCTCATCGTTCGGCTTCTCAGTGCCGTGTCGATGCACCGCCGGTGCAAACGAAAATCGCAATGCTGTGATTTTCGTTCGCAGCTCTTCGTTCGCGTGCCCACTGCGATTGCAAATCGCAACTGGTGTAATATTGGTTGCCTAAAAATCCAAAATCGGCAGATATATGTTTCAATCGCAAGTCGCAGTTTGTTATGGAAAGGAATCACAGGTTGCGATTGCGAATTTACAATCGCTGCGATTAAATCGCAGTTTGCGATTTTCTGCTCATCTCTAATATGTATATCATACTTTACGCAAAATTGTAAACTTTCCAGGGATTTTGTGCCTAAACGGTTGACTTTAGCGAAAATTTTCATATAACCTTTTTTATAGGAAATTTTATTATAATTAACAATATTAATTTTGCTCTCTTCAAATTTTTGCGAAAAACGCATAGTTTTCGAGATATTTACAAAATACCGATTTTGGACGCCATCTTGGCAAGATGGCGGCGCCGGCGGCAAGTCTGGAAATATGCATTTTATGTTTTTTTTTTGTTTTAAACAATAAGAACACCTGCCGACGGCCAACTGAAATTGCCATTTCAATAGCTATTAACGTTTCTCCTTTATAGCAAACTTCAACTGCCCGTCGGCACGTGTTTTTCGTTAAAAGGAAGGATTTTTTAGGGCGCAGAAAAAAAAATAATTTAGCATACAACTGTTGACTCTAAAGGTTTAATATTATGTTTAAATATTTTAGGTATGGGCAAAGAGGTCGAAAATCTTATAATGGAAAATAATGAGCTGTTAGCTACCAAGTGAGATTGGAATACATGTATAATATAATTATTCATTTAATTTAATTTTATTTTTAGAAACGCTTTAAACGTTGTTAAGGACGATCTTATTGCCAAAGTAGATGAACTAACAGGGGAAATAGATATGCTCAGAGAAGAAATTCTTTCCTTGAACGTTTCTAGGACGAAGCTGAGGTATTCAGTTCAATATATCTAGAATATTTACCTAATAATTTTTCGTATTTTAGAGAAAAAATTATAGAACTTGAAGAAGAGTTGCGTAAGCTCAAGGAAGCAAACGATGCCAAACAGGATGCAGATGAGGAAGCAGATGTACCGATGGCGCAAAGAAAAAGATTTACAAGAGTTGAAATGGCCAGAGTTCTAATGGAGCGAAATCAGTACAAGGTGCATTTATAATTTTTACAAGGAAAAATAATAAAGTTTCAGCAGCTTTAATGCAATATGCTTTTCTACAGGAAAGTTTTATGGAGTTACAAGAAGCGGTACGTTGGACACAGATGTTAAGAGCATCAAGAGAACCAACGTTGGACAAACATAGTAACAAAAGTATTTGGCGTTTTTTTCAAAATCTTTTCACGGGAAATGAAAAAGTTCAAAAACCTTTTACGATGCCTCCTTTGAAGTATCAGACCGCAACTAATCAGGTAAAATATGTAGATTTTGCATGTTTATTTTGTAATATTATTCATAAAACTAGCTTTTGACCGCTTAAAACTTGAATCTGTATATTCGAACTTATACGGGTACATTCGAAAAATTTAAAGGCCTAACTAGTACGTACTTTTTAAAACTGATTTTCTGATTTGGTTTGGTTTTATAAAGGACCGTTTGGAACCGTTGTAGCGTATTTTTATAAACATTACCACTGCGAACGGCAAGTTTTCATCGGAGAGCAGTCGTGGATAAGGTATTTCACTGGAAAGAACTAATTAATAACAATAAAAAAAAAATCAGATCCAAGCATTAAATTTTGACCGCCCTGTATACCAGGTTCAAACATATATCAAAATATCAAAAATATCAAAACACACAGCTGATATAGTTGTATGAAATTGTCTAAATTCTATAGACCCAAATAATAATAAATAGGAATATCAAAAATAGGAGAATAAAAATTTCAGTCTTAAATCGTATCAAGAGAAACTACAACTGTTTCCTCCTCTGTATCATGCCAAAAAAGATTAAACTACAAAAATTAATGTAAGAAAATTACTTAGGAAAATTGTCAGACTCCAGTGAAATGTTACGAGTAAAAATTTCGCAAGGCCCCACGTTGGGCGCCAAATAATGTGTAGCGTTTTTTATAACAACTCCCACTGCGAACGGCAGCTTTACATCGGAGAGCAGTCGTGGATAAGGTATTTCACTGGAAAGAAAACTATTTAATAACAATAAACAAAAGAAATAGATATTGGGCGCCAGGCATGTACAGAGAAAGAAAACACAGCTGTATATTACTTAAAACTAATGGCTATATTTATTCATGATGAATTCTGATGGTAAATAGCATTGTACAATTTTAATAATCATTATAGTGGTTAAATACTATTACAAGGCATAATCTAATGAAACCTAAAATCTAAATCATATTGTAACTACTAAATCGACATAAATGTTCTTAATAATCTAACCACTAAATATAGTCTGTACGATATTATTTAAAATGTACGTTATTAAGTGAAATCGACTGAAAATCTGAACCTAAATCTACACTTAGCTGTTCTTGAGGCAATCCTGTTTCGAAGAGTAGCAGCGTGAGGTAGGCTCATATCTCTATACTGTCTGTCGGCGATCCTGTTGGCCAAAACAACAAAAGAGGCCAGAATGAGGACACCATGAATCAATACAGCCGTAGCTACTGACTAGGCTTAGAAATGGGAGCGAAGCAGCACGGGGCTTACGTGTATCCATACTGTGGCCATATGGGGACACTACCCGTACCTTGGAACACTACTAGGACCTTGGATAATGTCCGTAACCTGTCGCGACCCAAAACGTTTGAAAATTTCGGAGCGGTTCGGCCTTTTCCGGAATTATATCGCCAAATAAATATTATTTATTTAAATTTATTATTATTTTCTTTTAATTTTATAAATAAAATCAGTGGGTTGCATACAAGAAACTTTATTATACACACCATACCGTGCTGGCAACTGTTACTTTTGGGTCGGCATTTACATGTGTGGAAGTAAATCGCATAGGGATCTTATTAAGTCGGAGTGAGAGAAATGCGACGGTGTGCTGTTGCGGCGTTGCCGATACGCCTTTCCCTATCAAGTAAAGTAAAATCACGATCTCAAACCGCTTATTTTTAAAAAACTTTTTTTTCAAGAGATAACTAGATAAAATCATTAGACATATTTATGAGCTGTTATCATCATTAGACATATTTCTGAAGGTTGTTTTTTCCATTCAAAAATTGTAAACAATTCATCCATTTACTTTTAGAGTATAGCAATTTTCAGCAATTGTGTAATTTTTTTATTGATAAAGATTTTCACATACTGTCTACAAAGAAAATACAGCAGAAATATTAACAAAGTTCTTGAAAAAACTACAATCTATTATATCTAATAAATTTCGAGATATCGATTTTTGAATTCAGAGTTCTAATAGCGCGACCACTATCGAACACCCACTCAATTCCACTTATTTTTACCAAAAATGCAAGCGTTTCTAGCTTACACTTAAAAAAATTCAAGCTATAGGGAAAATTACAACGACTCGTTTATTGATGTGTGAACTTACAGTTCACAGCACAGCTTTTTAAGTTTTTAATGCCACTTTTTCACAATTATCACGGATTTGAGTAAAACAACTTAAATTAAACTCACAAGATAGCAATAATTACTTTGAAATTGAATACTTTAAACACTTTTCGGAATTTTTTCAATGAGAGCGGTTTAGATTTTGAAAGATTTTATAATTTTTGAAGATTCTGACTTTGACAAGAGAAAATTATTTCTGTTTTTGTTTGCGGTTGTTCTTAGCAACCGCTATAGCAGCGCCAGATCGCGTACAACGGTCGCGACCCAAAATAATTTCGCGACACAAAAGTTTGACGGGCATTCCAATCTAAATTTATTTCCTTTATCTATGGGCGCCACGAAGTGCGTTTAATAATTGACGTTTTAATTTGACAGCTACCTGCATAAAGTTAACCAAAAAAATCGTAAAACTTACTTGAAATGGATGCATAAAAACGTTGTACACAAGCCATAGAGCATCTAATGTTATATTATCTCTTTAAATATTAACAGGGTAGATTTATAATAGGTTGTTTTGTTGTTTAGGTTGTCCCTGGAATTAAAGCTTTGCCAAGGATTTCGGATCGATCAGAGATTGAAATGGGTACGGAACTGTGATCTTTTTGTTCTACAAATCTACACTAGAAAAATTGATTTTTTGATACGATCTTGTACATAATTATAAAAATAACCGTCATATTTTTCTAGTTGCGATTTTTTAGTAATGCAAAGAATATTATACTATGAGAGCTTTTGCGTTTCAGTAACTATTGTGTTGAACGGTTTTCGAAAAAGTCAGTGAAATTAAATTTCAAGCATAGTTTGGTTAATGTTTTCAACAAAAAAGTGATTTTTTAATTTTTTGTTACAATTGCTTATATCTTACAATTTTAATATTAATTTATGTTTTTAATTCAAGTATGGTAATTAATTAAGTCAATAAAGTCAATTACAATATATACTGTCATTGTATATAAGCGCAGTTACATATACATTTATATGGTGCGATAAGCTTAGTAGAATTGGTATAATATTTTTTGATAAACGTAAGACTGTTGCAATATAGTTATATATGACTAAAGCGTCTCAGAGTTGTGAAACTAAAGCTTTATAATTTGGAATGTTTCAAATATGTATGTGTATTTGTTTTAATGTTACTATAGTCTGTGATAAAATCATCTTATTTGTTTATACCAAAGTTTATTTGATTAGTTATTCTCTTTTTGTTATTTCTTAAGACATTTAACTTGAAACTTTGGCTAGAATTAATTGACGAAAAATATTATTTTGTTTCCTAACAATTCTTAGTGCCAATTTGAAGAGTTTTTAATTTTTCATGATTAAATTTGGCGTCGTTAAATTTTAAGGTCACGGTTTAACCGGGCATTTAGTTGTTCTACAATATACACACAGGGTTGTTCACCACATACGACACGGGGTATTGTAGCTAAACGATTATATTTTTACAAATTTCAGGTTTTGGGTTCGATGAAGGACTATTAGAGGTACAATTTAAAAATAATTTACAAGATACAGAGTGTCCCAAATAAGTAAAAAATATCAAACTTGTATTTTTTTAAATGGAACACCCTGTATATTATTACATTTTTAGTTTCTACGATTAAAATAAAGGTAAATTTGATTAAGGTTTATTACACTTAAACCTTACCGTTTTTGAAATATTTTCAATTTTGTGAAATTGCAGTCAAAATTTTAAGGCTTCATTTCTCCAAGGGTATCAAAGTTTTTAATACTAAATATTTACTGAAGTTTATTTATTGATCAGTTATTGTGTTGCAATAATAAAAATAATACTACCTTATACAGAGTGTCTAAAAATTTATTTTAGATAATTTATAGCTTTAAACGCCAATAACTTGTTTAATTTAAATGGAACGCCCTGTATATTTTAGGAGAATCAGATGCACAATTTAATTGTCTATCAAATTGTATTATACCATTTTTACCTATCCCTTGCAACTAAAATGCATTTTCTTATAATTTACCTCATTCATCAATATACCCATGGAATATTGACATTTTATTATTGACACCCATGGAATATTGACATCATATATTGACATTCTAGTTATATTAGCGTTTTGCTAAAAACAATAATGTTGTATGCAAAGAGAAAACTATTTAAATCTTTATAAAAGAGTATACCATTAATTAAATATAGCACCATTATTTCCGCCCATATACTAATTAATTACATACTTAATTGTATTCGTTAATAAATTATTCTAAATAAATGTGGAATTGAGTCAGAAATCAATATAATAATAAGTTATCAAAATTAAAGTCTCTGTTGTTATAAATAAGCATTTATTAAAAAATGAAATATCATTTTTAAGGTGTTACTTTTTATCACACTGTCTAATACCCATACAAAATTCAGTTTTTTTAGTATTTGGAACAATTATTATTAATCAATGCAGTCAGTTAATGTAGTTTGAATACTGGAATCATATTAATTGGTCCTCTTTAACAAATATTTAAACAGTTTTTTTTTTATTTTTTAATGAAATAAACGAATTATATCCACAATATTAGTATCTGTACTCTTTAAAAATTTGGTACATCTTTAAAAATAATCTAAAATGTCAATATTCCATGGGTGTATTGATAAATAAATTCTAAATTACAAGAAAATGCATTTTCTACGGAAACTTAAAGAGATAGGTAAATTTGATTAAGGTTTATTATACTTAAACCTTACCGTTTTTGAAATATTTTCAATTTTGTGAAATTGCAGTAAAAATTTTAAAGCTTTATTTCTCCAATGGTATCAATGTTTTTAATACTAAATATTTAATGAAATTTATTTATTGATCAGTTATTGTGTTGCAATAATAAAAATAATACTACCTTATACAGAGTGTCTAAAAATTTATTTTAAATAATTATCTTATCTTATATAATAGTATACCATTAATTAAATATAACACCATTATTTCCGCCAATATACTAATTAATTACATACTTAATTGTGTTCGTTAATAAATTATTATAAATAAATGTGGATTTGAGTCAGAAATCAATATAATAATAAGTTATCAAATTAAAGTCTCTGTTGTTATAAATAAGCATTTATTAAAAAATGAAATATCATTTTTTAAGGTGTTACTTTTATCACACTGTCTAATGCCCGTACAAAATTCAGTTTTTTAGTATTTGGAGCAATTATTATTAATCAACGCAAACAGTCAGTTAATGTAGTTTGAATACTGGAATCATATTAATTGGTCCTCTTTAACAAATATTTAAACAGTTTTTTTTTATTTTTAATGAAATAAACGAATTATATCGACAATATTAGTATCTGTGCTCTTTAAAAATTTGGTACATCTTTAAAAAATAATCTAAAATGTCAATAGTCCATGGGTATATTGATAAATAAGTTCTAAATTACAAGAAAATGCATTTTCTACGGAAACTTAAAGAGATAGGTAAAAAATGGTATAATATAATTTGATAGACAATTAAATTGTGCATCTGATTCTCGTAAAATATACAGGGTGTTCCATTTAAATTAAACAAGTTATTGCCGTTTGAAGCTAATAATTTTTTAAAATAAATTTTTAGACACTCTGCATAAGGTAGTATTATTTTTATTATTGCAACACAATAACTGATCAGTAAATAAACTACAGTAAATATTTAGTATTGAAAACTTTGATACCCTTGGAGAAATGAAGCCTTAAAATTTTTACTGCAATTTCACAAAATTGAAAATATTTCAAAAACGGTAAGGTTTAAGTATAATAAATCGTAATCAAATTTACCTTTATTTTAATCGTAGAAACTAAAAATGTAATAATATACAGGGTGTTCCATTTAAAAAAATACAACTTTGATAGTTTTTATCTATTTGGGACACTCTGTATCTTGTAAAAATATTTTTAAATTGTAGCTCTAATAGTCCTTCAACGAACTCAAAACTTACAATTTGTAAAAATCTAATCGTTTAGCTACAATACTTCGTGTCGTATATGGTGAACAACCCTGTATATTAGTTTCATTTTTTGATTTTTAAAGGGATACAATAATTGTATCTTTTAGTTTTTTTGAAAATTCTATTTCAAATTTCGTGCTGTAGATAATATAATTTTTTGAGGCAGGCTTTAAATTTTATTTGTATAAAAATAACAGTAATTGTTAAAACTAATAAATGTTTATTTTTATAGTAAGGATAATTGAAAGTGTTTATTTAAATTTGATACAGAAGTAATATTTTAATATTCTACAGTGCATTTTTAATTTAGTTATTTAGTTGTAGATTTATTTAAGAAGCACTCAATTTGAAACTAAAAAATTAATCGTATAGTTTTATCTGAGTTATTATTAACTATGAGTTACTTATTAACTAAAGATTTAAAGTAGGCTACTAAATTTTTCAGCTGTTTTGTTTCTTTTTTGCATGCTTTTGTTAAATAGGTTGCTAATGTTGTTACTTTTCTTGTTTATAATATTTCTAGTTACCAGAAACTAGTCAATTGTTATTATTTATTTTTAAATATATTACGTTAATTTCTCTAGTAGTTTTTTTTGTATATACACTTTCAGTTTTGTTAAAATCATTATAAAGCTGGTTATTGTATTGGGTAGTTTATGTAAGTAACTGTAAAATTTTAAATAGTAAGTCATAAAACATATTTTTTTAGGTGAGAAATACAGTCTGCGGAAGAATCTAGAACGGCATGAACAATATCGGCAGGTAAAATTTGTGTTTTGTAACAATTAGAATTATTTTCTAAGTTTTTTCAAACGTTTTATAGGTTAGAGCACACATTAAAAAGGACGATGGCAGATTACAAGCGTATGGCTGGAGTTTACCGGGAAAAGTAGGGACTTCCGCGTCAACAAGTAAATCGGGAAGTGGTGTAGCAGTTCCTGTTCCAGTTTACTGTAGACCCCTAGCCGAGAGTACGCCTAATATGCGAATCTGGTGTGCCGCCGGAGTCAATTTGATGGGTGGTTACACTAAAGATGGAGGCTTAATGGTAAAATATTAATTTATTAATAGTATAATCTCTCCAACGCTTTGAATAAGAAGACTAATGAAGGAGCATAATGCTATCCATGCATGGTGAGCGGAAAAAGGACTTTAGGGTGGGGATCCTTGACAGTTCTGTTTGACGATTCATTTGACACATTTGAATTTGATTTGAAATTTTGTGGATTTGTCATTTGTCTTTACGGAGCTTATTTTATGTTATTTATTATTTATTCTACTACTGATAGTTATATAAAGGTAGTAAATCTAGATGGAAATTGTGGCAGAACTTAAATTAACAGTGACACTATCGCGATTTATCGAAAAAGACTCTAAAATAGTTGGTTGTGTAGCGTGCGGTAGATCTCGGCAAAAATTGAGTGATATAATGGAACAACTTTTCGCTAGTAAGTGACTATATGTAATATACATACGTGTAGTAAACTGATCATATATGAAATTCACTTAAATTAACTAATTATATATTTTTTCTTGCATTTTTGCTTTTATTTACTACTTGTCAAAGATTAGATGTCAAAGAATTTAGATACCAAACCAAACAGTTTTAATAACTACCAACATTTATTCACAACGTAAAATAAAAATAAAAAATTATTGAGTCTACCCCACGTCTACCCTACATCATAGTTTTACATTTTTTAAATAAAATTAGAACGGCACTGATAAACCGGAATTTAAGTCGGCCATATTTGAGTCCCATCGCGGTGGACCTAAGATTTTTGATATGCTCCTTCCTTAGTCTTCTTATTCAAAGGTCCAACGACAAAATCCTTGACAGTGTCTGTTATTTTAACTTTAAAATAGTTTAATTTATTTTACAAAGAAATAAGATGGTATAATGTAGGAATCACAATTCTCAAAACTTCACAATCTATTATAAAATTAATAGTTGACACCAGAGAATAGGTACATTAAAGAAATGCTAACTTCATGTTAAAAAATGGAAACAGACGCCAACCTGGTGTCGCCTGGCAGTACTAGCTAAATTGAGGGGAATTGGAGGGGCGGGCCTTAAAAGAGGGGAAATTTAAAAAAAAATATTTTTATAAGTATCACTGACTTACTGTTTAAAGTTAATAAACATATTTTTTATTACTTTAATATAATTTAATGTATTAAAAAATATGTCTATTAACTTTACACAGCAAATCAATGATATTATTAAAGACTTATTATTTTCAGAGAAAATTCATAGTAAATAAATTACACATTAGTAAACAATATCATTTATTTTTTAGAGCTGCGATTTATATTACAATAATATTGAAATATATATATTTTTTTAACAATGAAAAAAGAATATCCGGAACCTGAAAAAAGAAAGATGATCAATTAATGACTTAAATTAGTTCAAAATACATTTTGCAAATAACTAGTGAATTGAAAGATAAACATACTATTAAAAAGACATTTTAGTAGTATGTTATCATCTATTACTGATAATACATTACATAAGTATATAATAGGTAAATAACATGCATAAGGCACTATGATACAACTACCTGTATCATGATAACACACTAATATGACAAAAAATATATGCTAATTTAAATTCCTTTAATGATCTAATGGAACACTATCTAGCCTCAATGCATGCCATTCCAAAGGCAAAAAAACTGTTATACCAAATAAATATAAGCTGAATAAAACATAAACCAAGCCAACGTGCATAAATAACCAAAAAATGCATCAAAAAATACTTTTATCAGATCATACCCTTGGATATATTATGTATTTTATATATCGCATAATCCCGTTCAAAAGTTTACTAACTCAAAATAGAGAATATAGAGAACATTGTCAGGAGAAGTAAAAGAAAATTTAAGTTAAGGCAATATGTTCCTTTTTGCATATTAATGGCCAAATAATATAATGTTGATTTAATAAAATTTTACTGGCATCCTTCTGAGGTATAAATCAGATTAAAAGGACATTGTTTTTGTAATAATTGTTTGTTTTGTAAACATTTTTTGAAGACAATACAGTTTTGAACGGGCTGTGCGATATAAACAAGGATCTTACTATTATTTGAGGTTAGAAAGTATTTAAATAATATAAAACATAATCAAAATCATTTTTCATCATAAATTATAGAGGTACTTACGTGTTTTGATATTATTATCAGGAAATAATACGTTTAGTTAAACAGGTACGCTGCCAGGCAAGTTCTATCGGCGGGTCTTTGCAAGAGTTGAAATCTAAAAATACGTTTACATCTTAGTTGTATTTACGAATAAAGTATTTGTGTGTAATTTCTGACTTACCAGTTAACTGAATAATCGCATTAAATACATCCAAATGGTAATTTAATATTGTAAAAAAGCAAAATTGTTTGAAATCACTTGCCAGGACAGCCCGGCTAGCTTCTTTGTTGACAAAATGGCCGCGGTATCATGATTTAAGCAATGTGAGTGACAAAGAAAGCCAATGCCTGGCAGATGTTGCTTTCTTTGTCGTTGGTCCTGGCACGTTTAAATTTGACTGTTGCCTGTTTTCCCATACAAGTGACACCCCCGTGGTTGACACATACAAAAAATAGTTAATATTTAATTTAAAATATATTAATTTTATGGCTAGTTTTATTAATATAATATTAAATTTATATGTCTAGGTTGGGGGAAGCGTTTTTTATTCTGAAGATCCACAAATTGGTAACTTGAAGTCTCCAGAAAATGAAGTGGAATCTTTAGATAAAGAACTTATTAATGAAAAAGAAGGTGCTTTATTAGAGACACGTTTGTCTTCATTAGTTTGGATATGTACAACAGCTCAACAAGCCAGTATTGTAACTGTAAGTTTGACACTTATTATCTTAATAATAATTAGATAATATCTGCCGGTTTATTATATTGATTTGACAAGATTTGTATATGTTTTTAGATTTTAGTAGTAGTAGTTTAGAGAATTTTACACAATTTGTACTAGTGCCGAATAACTACTGACTAAAATATACCTATTTCTGTTGACATTCTGTGAAACGTTTTTTCGGCTTTCTACAAAATATTTACGTTAATCATATAAGATTTTATGTTTACTGCCGCATATCGACAGGAGGCTGCCAGTTCTTACGTGCTCTAGGCATACTAGGACGGGATAACACGGTCCAAATGTACGCCTATCAATACCTTGATCCATACCAAAGTCCCATTCACTGTCAATCTGACGTTGTTGTGTGTTAATGCTATTAGCTGCTTCTTTCCGATCATGAGGGACTTCTTATGGTGCAAGTACACACTAGAGATACACGCCGAGACGAGGCGAGTGTGTACTTGAGGCTCTCACCTGCTCTCGGGCCCCCTCGCCTCGCACTCTGCACGTTTTGTACCAAGTACACGCTCGCCGAGGGGACCCGAGACGAGACAAGGCGAGTGTGTACTTGGGGCTCTCGCCTCGTCTTGGGAGCGCTCGGTCTAGAGGCGGTCTCGAGCACGAGCCAAAGGAGACGAGAGCCACAGAGAAACTAAATAACCGAGAGACACAATAGATTCTATAGTTCTCTATGGCGAAAGCGTTAAGTAGGAGGTCCCGCGCAAATATACACGGTGCTCTCGGGAGATCTCGGCATTCAGTTCATCTTCTCAACTGCCTTTGAGTTGACGCCTATTTTCGGTATTTAAATTATTTAATACAGTGGATAAACGATTTTAGTCACGGTACCGAAAAATCTGTAAGAGAACTGTAGAAAAAAAATATTCTTTAATGGTCACTTTCCGTTTAAGAAAGAAAAACACTTCTATTAAAAGCTATGCACAAGGTTTTCATTCAGTTTGATGGAAAGTCTTCAAATTCAAATATTTTATATGACCTAATATAAACATTTATTATTTTCTATAAGTATCTACGTTTATTTTAATAATTGAGAAGCGATCAAACAAAACGAAATAAATCCATTTTGAGATATTAGCAAAAAATGTGTCATTGCGTCTTTTAAACAAAGAAAATTATAATGTACGTGAAAGATATTATGATACAGACTTTCTAGACACTGTTTTCGCTTTTTAATCATTAACATAAGAATTATTACTCTAATTACAAAATTATTGATTAATCTCTTTTATCCTTAGTTAAAAATAATAAAGACTTATTTTTTATAATGTAAAATACATAGTTTGTTTTAATATTATTAGGTAAAATAGCAAATATTTTACGTTTTTATGCTTCTGAGGTCTAATTCTTTTTTAAAATTTTTTAATACACCTCACCTCGGCAACATAAAGTCGAAAATACAGTTTATTTCGATCCTTGGCAGTTACGTCATCATTTTCGGCGTTATATTGGTTTTCATTATTTTTTCATGACAAACACGGACAATTGAACGATAATTTGTGACGTAACAGCCAAGGATCAAAAAACAAAGCGTAGATGAGTATGCTTCTATAAAATACCAAAATTACAATGAAAACAAAAATACTCACAGGCGGATTGATCTTTTTCTGTTTGAAACTAATAAATGCAATTTGATTTTGTGGATTTCACTGTTTTTTTATTTGCTGGACTTTCAGGTTGGTTTTAAATGGATTTAAGAAAAAATTTTTCCCAAATTTTCCCAAAAGTGTTATTAAATTTACCTCGTTGAGCGCCTGATTGTTTTTATTTTTACAAAATTATTCTTTAGAAAACAAAAAATTTCAATTTTTCAAAATTTATTTCTCGCGAAAAAAACCTCATAGTCGTGTTTCTGGGATTGAATATGCTAAAAATATTTGTACTTATTTAAGACTCACCCTGTATATCATGCTAATACAATTAATTTTATTTTATCATGTAGAATAATAATAATTTTTAAAGTTAATGATATCTGTTTTCCACAATCATTTGAAATTGATTACAGTTGGGGGGTTGGAACCTGTGGTGTTAAACAGCAAAATAAAACACTAAATCACCACAATACACCAAAACACTTTTACTTTTGCATTGGACGCGCATTCTTCATTTTAAATTGAACTATTACTATCTTTTGGAATTTTAGGTTATTGACGCAAATAATCCAGCAGAGCTGTTAAACAGTTTTGGTGTTTGCTCAGCGCATATACTTTGTATTGCAAGTGTACCAGGTGCAAGTCCTAGTGATTATATTGATACTCCGCTAGAAGTACAAGTGGAGGGTGAGTGTTGAATATATTCTATTTTCTTTTTGATTAGCTGTCTAAATTGTAGTACAAGAATGTAATGAAACGAAACCAGAGGAAATTAAAACAGAGACGGCCGTGAATAATGAAAGCGGCGAAGGCAAAGATGCAAACAAAACAAATCCGAAAAATGAAGAGGAACAAAAGGAATTAGCAATAGTATGTATACCGTGCTGGCAACTGTTGCTTTTGGGTCGGCATTTACATGTGTGGAAGTAAATCGCATAGGGATCTTATTAAGTCGGAGTGAGAGAAATGCGACGGTGTGCTGTTGCGGCGTTGCCGATACGCCTTTCCCTATCAAGTAAAGTAAAATCGCGATCGCAAACCGCTAATTTTTAAAAGACTTTTTTTTCAAGAGATAACTAGATAAAATCATTAGGTTTGTAATGTTTCTGAGCATCTGAAATGGAATTATAAGGATATCGTTAGGGTGTCATTTTTTTTATAACGAGAAAACGTCAGTAATCGCGATAATTTAGAAACTCAACTTTTTAACACATAACAGGCCATAACTCAAGAACCACTTTAGATATTGAAATTTTTTTTTTATTTTCAAGATCGGATATTTTACAATATGTTTACATAAGAAAAATTCGATAAGGTTGTTTTTTCCATTCAAAAATTGTAAACAATCCATCCATTTACTTTTAGAGCATAGCAATTTTCAGCAATCGTGTAATTCTTTTATTGATAAAGATTTTCACATACTGTCTACAAAGAAAATACAGCAGAAATATTAACAAAGTTCTTGAAAAAACTACAATCTATTATTTCTAATAGATTTCGAGATATCGATTTTTGAATTCAGAGTTCTAATAGCGCGACCACTATCGAACAACCTATCAATTCAACTTATTTTTACCAAAAATGCAAGTGTTTCTAGCTTGCACTTAAAAAAATTCAAGCTATAGGGAAAATTACAACGACTCGTTAATAAATAAACAAATCAAGTATCACGAGACGTAATTAAATCGTGAAGCTGAACGCATGACGTACACCTTTCCCTAGAACTTTAAGTACTGACAGAGGTATTGATTAGGTCGACCGGTCAACTGCGACAAATCTGCTATATCCCCTTCCACGTCTCTTAGCGATGTGCACAGTTTCTCGGTTTATTTCATACGTTTGGCAACGTGTTTACTGTCCTCTCTTTGTTCAGTACATTATAAACGCATTGTACTCTTCTTACATACGGAAATCTCGACCCAAGACTAACCTTTGCCAGCCCTTAGTATACCATATGCGTTTTGAATAATTAAAATTACGTAAGCTCTGGACATATCTAAATAACTTATTTTGATCAAAAATTTGTTTTTCTGTAAAAGTATTAACACAGAGGGCATTTATTTGATTATTGACCATTGACTTTGGAACAAATGGAATTTATGAGGAATGGAAATTTTGAGTTATTGAAAAAAAAACGCATTCTGAACAGGACGTTTTTTTCAGCATGTCAAAAAATTAATGTAAAGAAATTTCAGTTAACTATCTAGCGACATAGTAAACGTATGACAAACATGGGGTTAGTTTAGGGTTGCCAACTTTCAAAAGAAAAAATAGTGGACGAGAGGGTAAAAAAGAGAAAGACGACAGGCGAGACAGGCGAAACATTTTTTTGAAATCTTGCTCTAGAATTTATCAAAAAATTATGTAAACGGTATGGGATTGATGGTCTTTGTTACTTTTTTAAAAATGTTTATACTCGAAACTAGGGAATGTAATCCCGCACCAAAATCTCAATCCCGCAAACCCGCGGGATTAAAGCAATCAATCCCGCGGATCCGCAAAATTGCGGGATTGTAAACAATAAATGCTCTTCTTTTCTCTTTCCGATTTTGGGATGCGGTTTGGACCAGGTTTTAGACGCATCTATTGTTATTAAGATGCTATGTGGTTTTCGAAAATATATTTAGCGAATTCTCGTATACAGAGTGTTTTATAATAGTGTACAAATTTGGTTAAGAATTTTTTCTACCGAAAATTTACAATTTTTGAAAAATCGAAATTTTAACTATGTACGACTAATCTGTATTGAAATTAGAAAAAACAATTTGGTCTTTTTTTAATTTTTTGTTTTAAGGAAAATACGAGTTTTTTCGAAAAATATGCATTTATAGTCATACATTTGGTCCTAAATGGCATTGTACATTTTGCATAGGCCCACAATATACTGATATAGCATTTAAACTAGCTGAACAGAAATTTGGACCCATGTATACAGGGTGTTCAAAAAATATATTTAATATTAAATAAACTTAAATTTTATTTATAATTTATCTACTTATTTTATAAATAAAAATATTATTCTGATGTTGAAGGTTTTTTTTTCAATTTGTGTTAGTTATCTGCTTTTACATACACTCTATATCAATAAATTTTATACAGAATGTACAAAGCTTTTTGTACCATTTAGGACCATTGTATGACTAAAAATGCATATTTTTCGAAAAAACGTCGTATTTTCCTTAAAACAAAAAAAAACCGATCAAATTGTTTTTTCTAATTTCAATACAGATTAGTCGTACTTGGTAAAAATTTCGATTTTTTAAAAACTGTAAATTTGCGGTAAAAAAGATTCTTGGAAAAATTTTCACACCCTTATAAAACACCCTGTATACGAGAATTCGCTAAATATATTTTCGAAAATCACATAGTATCTTAATCACAATAGATGCATCTAAAACCTGGTCCAAACCGCATCCCAAAATCTTTTTTAGTTCAAGAGATATTCAACTTTAAATTTATCCTAAAATTTTGCGTGTCCCGATAATTATGTCCGGCAGTTTATTTGACGAAATTGTCCACAAGTACTAGTTAAACGCTTTTCTTCACTTACGCATGCCAGAAAGAAATCTAATAACTAACCTGTTTGTTTCACTTATTTTTAATGGCCAAGCATCCCCTGGTGTCGATCCCGTAGATCCCGCACGGTAAATCGCGCAAATTTGATCCCGCGGAATCACAAAGGGATCCCGCATTTGCGGGATCCATCATTTGCGGGATTGCATTCCCTACTCGAAACCATTTTCCACAAAACTTTTTTTAAAAACATAAGCAAGCTCACAGTAAGTAAACATAAAATAGTTATACATGTTTATCGCTTCTACAAATATTTCTAGTACATAAATAAGCATTTTCTTTTCTGTACAAACGAGTGGGAGTAGCGAAAGAGACGTATTAACAATTTTTTAAAGCATTGTAGCGATAGACGAATATTTTTTTAGATTTTTAGTTTGGTATGTAAAAAAGAGGACTTTTTCATTACGCGAGAGAAAAGAGGACAGTGAGATCAAAAAGAGGACTGTCCTCTGGAATAGAGGACGGTTAGGTGGTTTTTCAGAACTTGATTCGACGTTTTTCTATAATATATACTAAGTTCATATACACTAATTTTCCAAAAAAAAAATTTTTGGAAGAGTTTCAAGAATCGCATTTGTTTCTAAAACGACATAAAATAAGATAAATCTAATAACAATAATTCTTTATACAAAACTGTTTCTTCCCTGTCCTGTAAATAAATCTTCTTAAATCAAAAATATAAATTTTTTAGTTAACAAACTTGTTGCAATTTGAAATGACAGAAAAGAAACTTCTTCAAATTTTGTATTTTATTTTTGGAAAAATAATCTAAAATGTGTTTTTTTTTAAATTTCCGGAATATTTACTAAACTTTTTAGTAAAGGTACGTTGACACAGGTAGTGAAGAAGCACGATCGTGGCCCACACTTTCGTGGACCACGCCTCATGTCAACAGTAGATTCGTGAAAGAAGAATAGAAACGAATCAATACGAAAGACGCCACGATCGTGAATACGCAAATCAAACGTGTTAGATATTTCACGAATCAAATCGATGGTGAATAAGAAATCGCAGAGAAAGTTGAAGTAAAAAAGGCATATTTTGCACTATTCTCGCATATAAATTAATTTTTTTTTTCATATGAAGTTAATTTTTATAATCATATACTAAAATATATTAAAAAAAATGTAACAAATAAACATTCGAACTTTTTTTTGCAACAAAGATTATAATCGGAAGTCAATCAATATTTTCTAATGCGAGAATAGTGCATAATATGCCTTTTTTACTTCAACTTCCTCTACGGTTTCTTATTCACGATCGACTTGGTTTCTTGAAATATCTAACACGTTTGATTTGCTTATTCACGATCGTCGCGCCTTTCGTATTGATTCGTTTCTATTTTTCTTTCACGAATCTACTGTTGACGTGAGGCGTGGTCCACGAAAGTGTGGGCCACGATCGTGCTTTACTACCCGTGTCAATGTAGCTTAATATGCAGAAAAAGAGAAAATTTTTAAGTATTTGTTGGTAGGATTTATTGATAGTTTTGCTGTAATGGATGAAATTTGAGTCATAATTCCTAAATAAATATCTGTCCAGAGCAAATTTGTTTCTTTGTAGATCATAGGTGTTTTAATTTATATTCTTGAATGAAAATTTGGTATTTATAGCTGGGTAAAGTAATCTTTATTAAAAAAGATGAAAGTGCTGTGAATAAAAGAGATAAATATAAGCAAGAGCAAGCCGTTTCAAATTCAGAGAAAAGTGAGCCTGTTGATACGCTGATAACTAATCCAAAATCACTTGATGAAGATAGGAAAAACGAAAATACCGATGAAGAGGTTTTAAATACGGAGGAAACTAATAATAGTAACAACAATAATAACGATAATATGGAAAAGAACGAGTACAATACTAGTCAGGAGGTTCGATTTTTGTCATTTATAATTGTGCTTGATATCTATACCTACCTATTAATATTTATTTTAGATAATGTCCAGCGTTTTATCCACAATGTGGATTGGCGACGAACTGGGTAATATATATGTCCATTCCTCAGTGGCTAACTGGGCTCAAAGATTGCATACTGTAAAATTGAAAGATGCTGTGATTAGTATAGTGTAAGTAGTTTCAACCGTTCCAAATATTTTAAAATTATTTAAAAGTAATACCTTGTATGTAATTGTAATTATATATCGAGAAACTATGGTTACGCTCGTTGAATTTGACACTTTATGTCAGTTTAATACAAGGATATACTATAGAGATAAGGATAGTTCGATTCCTATCTTCCTGTACTGTCAGTTTTTTTACGTTTTCTTGGGACCGAGTTGAAGTTTAATAGATTTTAGACAGTGACAGTTATTTTTGCGTTTGACGGACGAGCGCACAGTGCGGCGGAAGATAAGTCTAGCGGGACAAAAACCGTTTGGTTAGAAATAAGCCAAAAATGTGTACTGATAAGAATAAATAGTAGACATTCCAATTGATATAAAAATACATGAATTATTTTTTGGTCGTATATATTCTTTGTATTTCGATACGTTTTTATCAACCAACCATATAATATCGCTCCTGAGACTTTGTCCCGCTAGAATAACCATCCGCCGCACTGTGGAGCGTTGGTCCCTGCGTGACGTAAGCATCCACGGTGACTACGATAGCGGCGATTTGACGCGATCGAACAGTCCTTTAGGAATATATACAGTCCTTGAGTTTAATAATATATTTTCGTACTTTTATGCCTAGGCGTAAAAGTGCTTTACCATAGTATAAGGAAACTAGTAGCTTTACTCCTTGTTAAATCCTTTGTTCTTTTTCTGCCACTTTATATGACCTTGTTCTCGCCTCCCGCGTCCACTGACCTAGCTGTATACAGCTGTATAGTCGTGGACTATTAACTAGGCAAAGTATAGTCGTGGCACTCGCCATAGTTTTACAGATATGCATTTAGGAAAATATGAGTTCACAATAAAATAAAATAAAAAAAGTGATCATCGAGTAAAAGCTTCCTTGAAAACAGAATATTTTCACATTTCGTGTAGGTAACAATTCTTCTGTATCTGAAAACCTTCTGATGGGAAGAAATGCGGAAAAAATATATAATGACATATTTTTATATTATTATCTATTTCAGAGATTTTCTACAACTTTTTTTTATTTATTTAAAACAAGTTTAATTTGGTCCCATTAATTCATAACCTTGAAACATATGAATAAAACTTTTTTCACATCTTCGACAACGACGACGATATTGGACTTCTTCGCACTAATGGGCCACCCTGTATATTTACGGTGGTTTAAAGCTAGGTGTAGCACTTTTCTTCCCTCAAATATAAACTCAATATTTTGTCTATAATATTTTGAATATTGTTATATTACGACCACTATACGGTCCACTAAAAAGTATACAGTCCACTAAATTTATAAGAGATTATGCTATTATAAAAGTCTTTCAATTAAAAAATATGAATAATTTGCGAGAGACTTTAGATGTACAAAATATTTACTCTAAAACTGTTTCAAAAACCAATCTATATAAATTATCTCGTAAATTATTATTGGAATGAAAATTTTATGGCAAATCCCCGACCAAAGAATATTTTCATGCGCCTATTTGAGACAACCTATATTCTAAAAAACTATTTTTAAAATCTGTCTAAAATCCAAAAAACAATAATAACATTTAATTAATTACATAATATCTCAGTTAAATAAAATTAAATGTTTATTGACAATTACTATCAGCTTATCGATTTACATCCCATGGAAATCTAAAAAAACTCAAAGAACAATTTTTTGAATTATTACTACAATTAATAGCAGCACACAGTAAGGCACTCATTTTTTCTCAATCCGTCTCTGTGCTGGGACGCAACGCTCGAACGTCGCAGCTCGACGGACGGAATTCAACTGAAACGCTTTGCAATCTGCCGATATTCGACAGATTGCAAAAACTGGCAGAAAATATTTGCGAGAGTGCAACTACTCTTTTCCTTAAACTATGGCTTTACTGTCGGGCCTAGGCAATAAAATGACTTTTTTATATTGTCAATCACGGCGCAAATATTAACACTTCTGTGACGTTTGAAAAAAAATTATCTCTATTAATATATTATTTTATTCTTCATCTTTGCAAATTTCCAGTCTCTATAAGAAATTTTGGCATTACATTAGAGTTATTAAAGTTTATCGTGAAGATATATGACGATGACAATTGTCTGCCATTTTAATTCATAGGCAAGTTTTATTTTCTGTCATTTTTGTATGTCGTCTGTCAAAATCTTCCGTTTCTACACTTTTCACTTCGCAAATTTGTAGGAATATCGCCACTGAAACGAACAACATTATAAATCAAAATATCTACTAAAAGCCATTATTATAATATTCATTTAGAACTCACTTATCGGTTTTTATACAATATGTTCAAAATGTTTATTAATCATGGATAATAATAATAATAGCTCCCGTATATAGCGTTTAACGCCTTGGGAGTAGCAAGGTACAGCTTGCTATGCAAGAGCTGTTCGGTATATCAGGAAGGTAATGTGGCTAGCACTACGCTTCAACCGCCTATTATTACCTCAGGATTGTGAATCTCAAGTACTCATTTAAGGTTGAGTCGACCTAGGTGCCCAAACTATTTTTATTTTTAATAAAAACTTCTTTTTACTTCTTTTCTAGCTAGATCATTTGCTTTTTCATTGCCTTCTATCCCTTGGTGAGCAGGCAGCCAGTAGGAGGACTTCGTTTTCTTTGTCTAATTTGTTGAGCTTCTCTAGGCATTCTTTGACCATCTTCGAATTGATGGTTACAGAGTTGATCGCGTTTAGTGCTGCTTGACTATCGGATAAGATGGCTATTTCCTGTTTTCTATAGTTCCTATCTGATCTCGTATTATAACTAGACTTCTCACGTAACTTTTGTCAATATGGCGGCACAATATTTCTCAATATACACGATCCGTTAAGTAATTAACAGAAATATCTTTTAAGTAAAAATAACTTGGCAAGACAAAAATAGAGTTGTATTTAATTCAGATAAATTAAAAGATATATTATTTATCTATATTTACAGATTTAAACAACATTGTTCTTTTAAATGTTGCGGATAGCAGAAAGTAACAAATCTGTTTCACAATATTACTTTCTTTAGTCATGTAGATGGAAGAGTAGTTGCTGCATTGGCCAATGGACAAGTGGCAATTTTTAAACGAAATTCCGAAGGAGAATGGGATCTATCACAATATTATTTAGTACATCTGGGTTTGCCGCATCACTCTGTGCGCCACCTCGTGGCAGTTGGAGACAAAGTTTGGTGTGGTTATAGGAACAAAATACATGTTTTACAGCCAAGAGAGTTGCAAATTATCCATACTTTAGAAGCTCATCCTAGAAGAGAAAGCCCAGTAAGTTAATATACTATCCCTGGTCACTTTATTTCCGTGGTCTGTACTTTAATGCATACGACAAAGATAAATATATACGACCAGTTGACAGACAGAGAGACAAAATAAAAAGTGGCATAAAGTGTTGCCGGTTCGTACGAGAAATAAAATAATAAAAGAAGATATTATATCTAAGCCCACGGCCACACAGAAAGCGTTTTTTGCGTTTTTAGCGTGAAGCGTCTTTAGCGACTAAAACAAAATAACAAGATTATATAGGAGTGGCCACACCAAAAGCGTGTAGCGTTCGGCGTGTCTCGCAAAAAACGCAAATGAAAACAAATCAGTTTGTTTTCTGTAGCGTCTTTAGCGTTTTCTAAGATGAGACCCCGTCATAGGCGGACGTTATATTTAATAGGTAACACAATAAAAATAAATTAAATAGTATGCATTTTTTTATTATCTAAAAATATTTTAATAAAGAACATCTACTGTTTAGGAAGATTCTATTAAATTCAAAAATTTGAAGAAAATGTTTGAAAAAGTAATAAATTAAAGGAATATTTTCTTACGCGTAAAAAATAGTTTTTTTATGCGTAAAAAAGGTTTTTTTTAACAGGAACAAATAGTTTTTGACGCGAAAAAAATAGTTTTTGACGTGTAACAAATAGTTTTTTTACACGTAAAAATATTTTTTTGGGGTAAGAGTTTTTTACTAGAAACAATAAGTTTTTGGTGCGTAAAAATTAGTTTATTACGTGTAACAAATAGTTCTTTATACCAAAAAATATTTTTTTTGCGTAACAAAAGGTTTTTTACCAGAAACAATAAGTTTTTGACGCGTAAAAAATATTTTTTTACGTGTAACAAATAGTTTTTTACACTTAAAAAATATTTTTTTTACGTAACAAAAGGTTTTTTACCAGAAACAATAAGTTTTTGACGCGTAAAAATTAGTTTTTACGTGGTACAAATAGTTTTTTACACCAAAAAAATATTTTTTTTTGCGTAACAAAAGATTTTTTACCAGAAACAATAAGTTTTTGACGCGTAAAAAAATAGTTTTTTTACGTATAACAGTTCTATTCGCGTAAAATAATAAAAATTGTTTTTTACGTGTAACAAATGTTTTTTTACACGTAATAATTTGATTCACTTTGACAAAATTTGTATTAAAATATCAGTATTTTTGATAAACTCGTGGACTGCTCACAAGTACACGTCGCGTCACTACGTATTTTTAAGCCGTTAACGCGTTTCGTTACAACGAGCTCGTGTGTCAGTTCGTCTCACTAGCTCGTTTGTCACGGCCTTGAATTTTTACTCCCAGCGGGCGTAAAGAAGTTTCACTCCAAAATGTTTCATAAATCATCTCCTAAAATTGCATTAGCAACTAGAAATATTTACTATTCTATTATATAATTATAATTATTTATTATATTATATAATTATAATTATTTATTATATTATATAATTATAATTATTTATTATATTATATAATTATAATTATTTATTATATTATATAATTATAATTATTTATTATATTATAATTATAACAAGTACTAACCACAACACTACAACATAAAAAAACTATACACGACATATAAACTAAAATTCGTAAAATAAATGGCAAATAATAATTATTATTTTTACACACACCAATGGCACTAGCAGTAGATTGTGTTTGTCTCCAAATATATGCCCCGGCCCGTCCACAATTCAATCCCAGCATCTTTTATCTTCGTCTCTTCAACGCTAACGGCGCCGATCTCGCCTATCTCTTTCTCACAGGGTTGATTGTTGGACGGGCCGGGAATCCACGATCTTGCGACGTTACTAATTGACATCTTGATAGAAACTGCAGACCTGCCGCGTAAAATCGCAAAAAGCGCTTGAGACGCAAAAAATGCAAAACGCTAAAAACGCTTTCTGTGTGGCCGTGGGCTAAGCTATTCAATAATGCTCATTTCTGTTAGACAGTTGTTTAAGAATCTTTTACAGTTGTAGTACAATGAGTAACTAATTGTGAAAAATAAAGTTCCAACCCTAGATGCAACATTTTCCGTAAACACCTACTTTTGCGGTTTGAAATGTTGATGCAAAATCCGGCAATGCCGCATAGAAGAAATTTATCAACCTAACTTTTATCTCTTTTCAATACATTTGACTTTTCATTTAAGCTGTTTACATCACTGTCTTACACGTTAAAATCCAGACCACACAGTTTCGACGACCAGGCCGGTTATTTTGAAATTGTTTTTGTGTGTGAAATTGTATATTCTGTGTTTTTTTTAAGGTGAGACAAATGGCATGGTTGGGCGAAGGAGTCTGGGTTTCTATTAGACTAGATTCCACATTACGTTTATATCATGCCCATACTTATCAACATTTACAAGATGTTGATATTGAACCATATGTCAGCAAGATGTTAGGTAAGCCATATATAAAATTAAAAATCCTTTAAATCCTGCATTAATTTTTATTTCATAAAGGAACTGGCAAATTAGGATTTTCTCTAGTCCGTATTACAAGTTTATTGATATCTTCAAATAGATTGTGGATAGGTACTAGTAATGGTGTTATAATTTCTGTTCCTTTAACTGATGGAAACACTTCATATGCAAATATTGTCTCAAGAAATATGGGGGTAACAAGTTCTGGTTAGTATTATTTATAGTAGTGGGAACTATCGAATGAATACTATCGAAACATTCGATAGTTGCAATTCATTCGAATAATTCGATAGTTAGTAAGAAAACATTCGTTGAAAACTATTCGAATAAAAATTATCGAATAGATCCGTCATCTGCCTTGAAATATTGTATTCTAGTAATTCGGCAGCAAAAACCATTCATTTATAAAATTCATTCATTTATGAAATTCATTTATTCGTCAGGATCGATTATAATAAAATATTAACTGAATTTTAGTTGTCGCCCGGCGACGTAGGTTTCTTTCGAGAAACCCGACAGCGGTCGGTGGCAATGCTATGATCTTTGATTTTTTGCGGAGTCAGATATAGATAAGGACACATTATTTTTTATTGAGGTGCTAGTATTTACACAGAAAATACATTATGAAGGGCGCTGTTGCCATATTTTGGTATTAGTTGATATTAGCAAAGAATATTATTGTTTGGCTTTAGTTAGTTAGGGATAGTATGTCTATATATTCTGCATTTTTTTATTAATATTCTGTTGTTACACTGCAATAATACTTGTTATTTTGGATGTAGGAAAATGATTTTTAATGTTTTTAAGCAAAGACTGGTTTAATAAATAATAATAACAGTAATAATTTGTTATACCTATTAACAACAAAATTTAAAATCATTTAATATAAATATTTTTTAAGTAGTAGCAAAATATAAACAACAAATTAGATGTCAAAATTATTTATATTAGATCCTATTTAAAAATAATATAGTCTCTAAATTTTTTGTGTGTGGCAACGTTGGTTTATTAAATAATAATAATTACAGAACTAATTTGTTATATTAACAACAAATTTTAAAATCATGAAATATAAACATTTATTAATTTTCTAAGCATGCAGTGTAATGGAAGGAAAATATAAATAAAAAATTAGAAATCAAAATTATTTATATTAGGTGCTTTATATTACTATTTAAAAATTATATTTACTTTTACTGGCATTTACTTTAAAAAATAAATGAAATATTTCTTCGCAAAAAACTACATGTAAGAGAATTAGCATAAACAAAATACAAACATCGTTAACCTTTTTTTAAATGGGCACGTGTAAAACTTTCATTTTAATTTTCTCACCCCATAGTTTGAGTTCGATAACCCCATTTACTTAACCACATTACTTAAATATGATTATTAAGTTCAACTAATTAATATTATTAAAACATCTAAAATACAAATATGTATGTTTAAAATTAATTGTAAGTTCATCTCATCTCTCTTAAAAATTGCTACTTCTCAAAATTTCCCATTAAAAAATAGACCATATACCATATAAAATTAAATTGAAAGATCGGACTAGGGAAAACCACACAAATTTTCGGAAAAATTTTGACCACCTGCACATGCACACAATCGTCAATAAATAAAATTAAAAAATAACTACTATTTTAGTATTTTAACTATTTTAATAAACGCAAAAATAGCACAGTATTTATACGGCGAAGTTATAAAAACTTGGAAGAACTAATAATGCACTGACGCATACAAAAATCAAACGAATACTAAATTTCATTTGTCAAAAGCATTCGATAGTCGTGGCTCAACGATAACCATTTAGTCGCACGGCGAGGTTGTCACATATGCTTTAGTATACAAATGAATGAATGATTTTATTCAAATAAAACCATTCGATAGTTGAAATCATTCATTCATTAACCATTCGATAGCCTAATTCATTCGATAGTTCCCATCGCTAATTATTTATGTATAAATTAGAAATGTTAAGAAACCCTACATCTACAGGTAATTTTATATTTTCTTTTCTCCTGATAAATTACTAAATGCTAGTTATGTTATTACCCCAGTCAAAATAGACATTTCAATTAAAAATAATTCGCATAGAGCTGAAAATTGATACCGGTCTTAAATATACTATTATAAATGATATCTGAAAAATCCCCACCCCTCCCACGTCTGCTAAAAAAATTATTCAATGTCAAAAGTCAAAAATATGTTTTTTTGCTTTTTTCTCCTAAACGGTAAGCGCTATCGCAAAAGTACCTTAAACAAGTGTTGTAGACCATTAAATTTTCTACAATAGTGGTTCAATTTCAAAAGTTGAAAAACTCGTATTTTTTTATAATATGCACACATTTCCGCACCACCTGTGAGGTAGTGTACTTGGCGCGTTTTTTTAACGTGTTTTCCCCTGTAGGCCTAGTCCACGATCTATTGTGGTTAAGTTTTATTACACATTATACGAGGCATGTTTTTTAAGTAAGTACCGTTTTGGAATTAAAAAAAAACGTGCAAAGATATCGCAATAATTTTATTTTTACATGAAAGCCTGTACCTTAATCTACTTTTCTACATAATTTCCGTGAATATTGAGGCACTTGTCATAACGTGGCACCAGTTTTTCAATACCCTCCTCATAAAATTCTGCCGCCTGACTGGTTAACCACTGTATCACAACTGTTTTGACTTCGTTATCGTCTTGAAGACGCTGACCGCCCAGGTGTTTCTTCAAGTGCAGGAATAAATGGTAGTCACTGGGCGCCAGATCAGGGTTGTATGGAGGACGATCTAGAGTTTCCCATTTAAAAGATTTGATGAGATCTTTGGTCCGATTAGCCACATGTGGACGGGCATTGTCATGCTGCAAAACAATACCCTTACTCAACTTGCCACGTCTTTTGTTTTGGATTGCACGGCGCAGATTGTTCAATGTCTCACAATAAGATGCTGCATTGATTGTCTCATTACGAGGCAGAAACTCCACTAGCAATACTCCTTTTCTGTCCCAAAAAACTGTGCACATGATTTTCCGGGCAGAAATTGTTTGCTCAAACTTTTCTTAACACTGTTTTGGGTGATGATGAATGTCGCCATTCCATGGACTGTTGTTTCGATTCTGGTGTGACGTAGGCCACCCATGTTTCGTCACCAGTAACAATTTTGTCTAAAAAATCTTCACCATCATTGTGGTACTGCTCAAGGAAAGTCAATGCACTGCCTAAACGTTGGGTTTTGTGCAAATCCGTCAACATTTTCGGAACCCAACGTGAACACAATTTCCGGTAATTCAAGTTCTCGGTCACAATGCGATACAAAATACTACGAGAACATTGAGGAAAGTAGTCGCACAATGATGAAATTGTAAAGCGTCTGTTTTCTTTCACCTTTTCGTCCACTTTCTGCACCAAATATTCATTAACGACCGTAGGACGCCCACTCCGTTCTTCATCATGCACATTTGTGCGGCCATCTTTAAATGCTCTCACCCATTTCCTTACCATTCCATCACTCATAATGTTTTGTCCGTAAGCTTCACAGATCTCACGATGAATATCGATCGGTTTTACGCCTTTAGCACTAAGAAATCGTATGACAGCCCGTACTTCACAATCGGCGGGGCTCACGATTGTCGGAGGCATCTTAAACACTCAATAAACAACGTATACAATGAAGAATCAGACTGTACTGGCGTCTGTGCATAGACAAGAGATGTAGGTAACCAGCGCGCATGCGCGGAACGCCGACCGTAGCGCTGCGGCGGCGGAATCGCAAAACGGTACTTACTTAAAAAACATGCCTCGTACTATTAATTTTAAAAAACGGTGCTCTTGGTAATGTTTATAGTCGAACGGATTATTGTTGATTTTGGGAGAATTTTAATCTGAGTGGTAATTTTCAAATGATACTTCAACAGTAATGTCTTCTTCGCTTTCTTCTTTCTCATCTTCTTGCGGAATATCTGGAAATCCATCTATAACAGATGCATCAGTTATCTCTTCATTAAAATCCTCATCTGTATTTCAGTCAACATTGGAGCAAGACTGACTTTGACAATTAGTGACACCAACATTGGAGCAAGACTGACTTAGACATATTGGTGTACAAAATAATCCGAGTCTTTTACAACCACAGTTACACCTACAACCCTTTTTGCAATTGCAAAAAATTGTGTTAAGTAGTTTTTCTGGAGCAGGTGCAAGTAAAGTTTTAATCGGCTCCAAAGTATTATCTATAAATTTCCAACTCCGGTCTTCTGGGTTCAGTTGATTGCCTAGCCACAATTGAACTTGATTGTATACACGATATAAGTGTTGACAGGCAGCAGCAGATGTTGGAGGAAGACAAGAAAGTTGTACAATTTGATTGTTCCAAGTATTTTTAACAAAACTTAAATATCTATACTTGTCTATAGAATCAATTTTTTTGGAGCACCATATATAGCAAGAAGCAAGCGAATTCCACTTGTGATGATGACTTGTGGAGAAGAAAGAAATCTTTTTGAATACGTCTGCGCACACATTACTGTTGAAGTATCATTTGAAGATTACCACTCAGATTAAAATTCTCCCAAAATCAACAATAATCCTATAATCATTACCATAATCATTACCAAGAGCACCGTTTTTTTAAAATTAATAGTATAATGTGTAATAAAACTTAACAAACCACAATAGATCGTGGACTAGGCCTACAGGAGAAACCACGTTAAAAAAATGCGCCAAGTATACTACCTCACAGGTGGTGCGGAAATGTGTGCATATTATGAAAAATACGAGTTTTTCAACTTTTGAATATACGTCTTACGTATATACTTTATTCTTCTATGTGTGACGACTTTTCTGTCGTTACCCAAATAGAATGAAAAAAGAATCCGTTGCTCAGGGTTAGAGGAAAGCTGGGTTCGTAGGTAAGGCTTCTGACTCACAGTGACTTTCTAATGTTGTTAAATATTAAAATAAAAAAATGATAATATATAGGCTGCAGAGATGTTAATATTGATGTTAAGAATTCAAATAGGTATGGTCAAAGACAGTGAAAAGGGCGCCACTTACTTTGTTTATGAGAGTGGTAAAGTAAGAAACCAAAAAGAAAAATACGATATCACAACATAGCTAAAATAAAGTAATCAACAGCATTAAGGGTCTATTATGTTTATCAGGAATAAAAGTCAGAAATAACTATCCTACATTAAACATTTATTGAAAACGAACACAAGTATCATGAATTAGTCACAGTGATCCCAATAAAACCGCAAGTTATTTTAAATAGATTTGAATTTAGTAACTGTATTCTTTGAACTAAGTAAGCTACTTAATATAAACAGGTGAAATTTATATATGTCTCAATACGATGATGTTTCGAAACATGTCGTGTACAAAAACCTTTAAAATGAATATGTGTTAATAATTTTCATATAAAATATCATAGCTAAGTAAGAGTGTACTGTACGAATCAAATTATAACTTATAACGTTAAATAAAAAATAATTTTGACTACAATATGTGGGATAAATAGTGATAATTTACCAGGTTATTAAATCTGTTGTCTCAAAAATTATAAAATAAAAGCGTACCTTGTGTACCAAACTTAAGAGACTTATCTGTATATAGTTACTTCTGATGTAAACAGGTAGTTAGGTATTCTCCAGACTAACAGAAGTGGATGCAGATGACTATGGCAGGAGAAGTCTTCGATATCAGCCAAAAGAACGATTGTAATGTCAGGAACACTGTCTTAAGGTCTGCATAGGTCCATACAAAATGAAAGTGGGTGAAACATACAATAATTACTGCATTATTACTGCATACCATGTGGTAATTACTGAGTACCATGTGGTAGTTACTGAGTACCATGTGGTAGTTACTGAGTACCATGTGGTAGTTACTCTATAAATAAAAAATAGTTCTCAGGACAGATACTCAATAAAAAAAACAACTTACGGTCTGAAAATCAGCTTTACATAAATATATTCAAACCATATGCCGATCCAAACCATTAATTAAATACTCAAATAAACGAAATAAAAAACGGAAATAACTGAAATAGAATTTAGTTAGATAGGGCTATATAAAATGGCGGATAAACTTACGGTGATCATTCCAAGAAGAAACCAAACAAATACGATCTATACTCTGAATTGCATACTTTACAAGGTTTTCAAATCTCCAAATCGGATACCCATGCAATCGAAATCGAAAAGTGGATGCAGAGTGCTTTTCACTGGAAAATTTGTCGGACGCCGAAACACGCGTCTCCTTCAGATCCAAATTCCCAGAAAAAAAGAAAAAAGACCTTCTTCTCAGTTCTCCAGTTTCAGAACCCAACTGTCATAAATGAAGTTTGATATCTAGCGAATAGATGCGCTAATAAAGCTTGTTTCATATAGACGCGAATCGCGAATTGCGAAAAGCGATTCGCCAAAAAATATTCGCAAAATTTGGACCTATTTCATACAGTCGCGAATTTTTAGGGACATTTCATTTTTGCTCAACTGAAAGTTACTAAAAAAAATCATAACCTGAGATAACTTAATTTGTTTTTATTCGTGTTTACGATCTTTATTTTATATTTTATAGCATACAATATGAGTTTAAATTTGTTTAATGATTATGAATATTGATTACGATTGTGGGATTGGAACAGAAGGTGCAAAATTGCCATTTACTTATTGTTAAAACGTAGAAAAGAACGGGTTTATAGGTCATTTGGGACATGTGAAATATTTAAATTTCGTAAGCAACAAGGTGCTTATCGCAATTTAATTCAAGAAATGAGGAAAAAAGATGAGAACCAATTTAGGAATTTTCACAGATTGAGTCTACTGACTATGATGTGTTTATGTTTTTCACAGATTGTCTGTATAGGAGTTTGATAACTTGGTTGAAAAATTGTCACCATATTATCCATATTATATCAAAAACATATATACGAGAACCCATTTCACCTGGAGAAATGCTTTCAGTTACTTTGTACTTTGGTACCACTTTGGTACTTTGTGGCAACGTCGTCAAAATAATCGATAACCGGATCACAACACCATTCTGCGCAAACGCGAACCTTCAAATCGCGCGAATATTCGCAAAAAGTTGAAAACACTTTAACTTTCCCGCCCCCCATATTTTAAATCTTGCGAATCGCCAAAATCTTAAAATTTCTGACAGCGCTGCATGATCATTAAAATTGGACCAATGAGAGCAGTTTCGCAAAATCGCAATTCGCGATTCGCGTCTATATGAAACAAGCTTAAAAATTAAATATCGGGACAAGTGAAATGCAATTAAGGAAGTTTGGCATATAGCGAATAGATGGCGCTAATAAACAAGACAAGTAAACTGTAAGAAATGAAGTTTGGTATCTTTGGCATCTAGCAAATAGATGGCGCCAATACTAAGAAATTTAAATAAAAATAGATTTTTAAATTCAATTTTATTAAAGGAAATAAAAAAGGCTACAATCGCCATATCTCAAGAATGGTGGTTCGTAAGAAAAAAATATAAGAACCATTATTGAAAATTTAATGGTCTACAACATTTGTTTAAGGTACTTTTGCGGTAGCGCTTACCGTTTGGGAGAAAAAAGCAAAAAAACATTTTTTACTTTTGCGGCCTGCGTGCAATGGTAATACTTTCGTACCACCGGGGCGCATCTCCCGTTCGGGACTTAATATCTAACCGACACTTTCCGACAAGTCGGAATTAACTATCTCTGCGCTGTGGTTGTCATTTTGTGGATCTGTCCAAGCTCACCTGATGATGGAGTAGGGCTCCGAAACCGGTAGTGAGAGCAGGTTGATCCACATTATGACAAACACAGCGTAGAATTAAATTTCTATATAAGCAGTTAAGTGGCAAGAATCCTTATATAATTTTATTATATACCTATACTGTAAGAAATTTGTTTTCTATTTTATTAAAATTATATTTTTAAGGTGCCAGGATAACACCTCTGCATGGTAGTTATGTGCCATATTGTACAATGGCTCATGCACAACTCAGTTTTCATGGACATCGAGATAGTGTGAAGTTTTTCGTTGCTGTACCTGGTAACGAAGGTAAATTTAACATTACATATTATCTTTAATCAAACAGTTATTTGATTAAGTTCTCCTAAAAATTGTCTTTCTGTCGTCCTAGAAAGCATTCTTGATCATAAAACCTTTTGACCGTATCGTACTTTGAATTCTAATTATTATGTTAAACTTATGCAGGTGTTAGTGCAGCATCAACTCCTTCTGAAGCTATGTCTGCGTCTGTTACTTCGGTTGGTGAACAACAAAAACATCCACATTCAATGTTGGTAATCTCAGGTGCAGAGGGATATGTTGATTTTAGAGTTGGTAAGATATATACTTGCTATTAACACTACTCTATTTATTGTTCTCTTTAACTTCTATAAGCTTTCATCTAATAGGTCATTTATCCTTCAAATTTTATTTTTATTTTATCACACAGTACACAGATCGTTACCCAGACCGAGTTAAATTGTTTTACAAAGAGGTAGGTCTACCCCGAATGGGGTAGCTGTGGCAACACTGCCGTTATCACTTTTCCTGGCGCTAGTCCGTGTGTCACGGCCTGGAATTTTTGCTCCCAACGCGCGTAAAGTAGTTTCACCTCAAAATTATTAATAACAAAATTAAAATAATTGGCATAAGTAGCAATAATTTGGTGATTATAAAGAGTTTCAAAAAGTCAATCGCATTATACTCCTTTTGTTTAGGTTAAATTTAAAATCGTTTTAGTCTAAAAAAGTTTATATTACCTTGATATTATTATTGTACACTGTTAAATTACTCCATCAGTAAAATACCTACAGGGTGGCCCATCGAAAACGTTCCGCAAGGCATAATAATAATAATAATATGTCTTTATTTTAATAATCCTCGGCGAATTTCAGTAAATAACTGCTTAGTTAACCGAGTACCATTACAGTATAACCTAACAAATAATATCAATATCTACTACCTTATCTTAATTTAATATATCAAATGTATAAATATAATAACAAAAAAAAACAATGAAAAATACAAAAAAATATAAAAAATATAAAGCATTAACAAAACTATTAGTGTAACACATAGAGCACACATAGAGAACAATTAATACTTATAAGTACATTATGCAATAACATAAGGCAACAGGCATGTATTGGTGTTGATGAAGAGAGAGCCAAGGAGAGGCATAGTTGGCTGGCTTCAAAAAGTATACTCAACTCACATTATGGAATAATAAATCTCTGAACCCCGATCTAAATGAACCGAGGGACTTAGCTATTAAAGCACTTGGCAGGGAATTATATAACGAGACCGCAGAATACGTAAATGATCGTCGATATAAAGAGGTCTTATATTGAGGTAGATATAACTGGTTAACATTTCGAGTGTCTCTGCTATGAACAGTTTGGCGCAGTTTTAATTTAGATTTTAAATATAATGGTGTCTGTAATTTAATTAGTTTGTGTACAAAGGTAGCCAAATGCAGTCTACGGCGTTTATACATATTAAGCCACTTCAATTCTTTAAGCCAAGGTGAGATATGCTCCCCTCTATCCAGAGAACAAATAAAACGTACACATGAATTTTGAATCTTCTGTATTCTGGAAGAGGAGTGCACGTCAAGACAAGGTCCATAGACAATGTCAGCATAGTTGGCATGGCTAAGAACCAAACTGTCACATAGGCTACGTTTCAATGCTTGACTCATAATATTTTTATTCCTATACAATCCCCTCAATGCTGTATAACTTTTCTGCACAATCGAATTGACATGATTTCGAAATCTCAAATCACAATCTAGAGCCAAACCCAAATTCTTGACAGTTTTTAATGGATGGATTATTTCGTTATTCAGTTTAACAGATAATCCCTTTGCTAAGGGTACCCTACCAAAACAAATCATTTGAGTTTTGCCAAGATTCAACTGAAGACCATGATTCAATGAGTATTTACTTATTTTCTCAAGAGCAGAATTAATATTATTGTAAACAGCTGCTGCATTTTCAGCAGTGTAAGTTGCATATATTTGCGTGTCATCGGCAAATTGATGCAGTTCGCAATCCACAACATTATTTTTCAAATCAGCGGTGTAAATAAGGAACAAGAGTGGTCCCAAAATGGAACCCTGAGGTACACCCCTAGAAAGCGGGAAAGCATCCGACTGAGCCTCATCGAGAACTACACACTGGCATCTATTAGACAAATAACTGCCAACCAATTCCACAACATTTTCCGAAAACCCGTAATAATGAAGCTTTGCCAGTAAAAGGTCATGCCCCAAGGTGTCAAATGCCTTAGTATAATCCAATAGAAGCAGACTTGGAATGGCTAGGGTAATTTTTTTTCAGAAAATCCAAAAACACGTCAATTTTGTTTGTGAGGGGGGCAACTTTTGCCCCAAAAATGATTGCAAAATCTTCAACCCACTAAGCGGGGATGTCATCCCCCAACTTTTTTCAAATGGGAAGGAGGGTCAAATGGCGCCGCAATGAAAAGAGCTTTCTATTCTCTATATTTCCCCGCTTCGTTTTTGAAAATAGGTCGAGTCATTGAGAAAATATGAACAATTGAAATTTGAAAAGTTTTAACAGTCTTCTGTTCTTCTCAATCGTTAAATTCAATGAACGCCATCCTGACAAACACCTTTATGACAAAATTGTTCGCGAGTTTGTAGCAAAATTTCGTGAAACTGGTTCCGTTATGAATAAAAAGAGGCAGAGAGAAAATCCTGTAGTAAATGAAGCTATGGAGGTATTCGTATTGGGCCAAGTTGTCATGGATAGTACGCTGAGTACAAGAAAATTAGCCAATGAGACCGGCGTGAATCGTACAAGTGTCCAAAGGATATTAAAAAGATACAAGTTCCACCCGTACAAAATTCAGTTGGTACAAGAACTCAGCGAAGACGATTTTGATCGTCGCGGGCTGATATTTTTGTAAATTCTATTATGGGTCCATGGGCGCCGGACAGGGGGGGCAAGAGGGGGCATTTGCCCCCCCCCTGGATCACTGAAACAATCAAAATAAAAGCTATCTTCTTACATCCATCTGTAAAAAAATAATCATTATTATGAAATATTTAGGTGTTACCTGTAAAATAATAAAAAATGTGGTAATTATTGGAAAAACTGGAAATCGTCCGATTTTCACCAAAATTATTATATTATTTTGAGGTCGTAGATTACGAATCTATTTTTTTTCTTGGCGGCCTCTTACCGTTTTTCAGAAAAAAGGAAAATTATTTCAACATTGAATTTTTCTTTATTTCGGCCCTATAAAGTAATAATTTCACTATATTTTCATTATATTATAGTTTATCTAAAAGCCACACTTGATTGGGGATAGAAAAATGTCCAGTATTTTACTGAAAAACACTTTTCTTAACAAAATAACAAAGAAAATTGAGACCAGATGGAAGTTTGACATTTGATATATCCTTCTTTCTCTCTCCTATGTAATGAGAGAGACAAATATTTTCTAGACCTAATCTAGAAATTTGAAAATTTACAACGTTGCCATATCTTCTATTTTTTCGGATGATTAGGGATATTAAATAAATTACCTATTATGAGATCGACAATAATTAAATATAGACCTATATCCACAAAGTTATGCGGAAGAGTTTTGATTGCGTTGGTTTAACTTCTTTGCGGAGGGGGTTAATCTTTTTTGATAATATAACAACAAAAGATTAACACCCTCCGCATGGAAGTTGTAACCAATGCAATCAAAACTCTTCCGTGCAACTTCGTGGGTATAAATAGTCAGATCTCGTTGGTAAAATAGCACTTATGGGAAGGAGACGTTCTTCTGGCGACCCCCTTTCGTAATTCCAGAATGAGCGAAAAAAGCACGCTAAATTTAGGTTTAGCAACATTGCTTTAAATGCCAGAAACACATAAGCTTACTTCGGGTTTCTCTTATTACCGATTCTGAACTGTCCTAGAACTGTGATGCGTATGCGCAGAAGGAAACATGAAGACATTATTTCATTTGCGCATACGCTGCAGAGTTCTAGGACGGTTCAGAATTGGTAATAACAAGAACCCGAACAAAGCTATAACCTAACATTTTCAGATTGTTTACAAATTTATTTTAGCAAATTTTCCTCTATTATGCATAGCATTGGTTAAAAAAGCAACAGAAAATAGCAAAAACACCATTGATTATTGAATACCTAACAAAATATATGCTAGAAAACCTTAAAAATATTAGAAATTAAGAAAAATTCGATATTGAATTATTTTCCGTTTTTCTGAGAGACGCCGAAAAGAAAAAGTTCAGATTCGTAGTCTACGACTTCAAAATAGGGTGTATACCAATTTTGGTGAAAATCGGACGATTTCCAGTTTTCCCAATAATTACAAAAATGTGTTTCAATTTTATATTCATTTTTACCTTGCCCCCACCTAAATTTCATTCTTCCGGCGCCCATGTATGGGTCAGTTTAACGATATTGAGACCGCACCTGATCGTTCAACCTTGTGGCAAGTGAAAAAATGCGTAAACATCTAAAAATAATAAGAAAAAACAGCAAATTCATGGAAGGAATTTACCCTTATCATTTACTCTGATAAATGTTTAAAAAAACTTTTCAAATTTCAATCCTTCATATTTTCCCAATGACTCGACCGATTTTTTTCCTTTTTCCATTGCGGCGCCACTTGACCCCCCTTCCCATTTGAAAAAAGTTGGGGGATGACACCCATTTTGGGGCACACCCATTTTTGGGGCAAAAGTTGTCCCCCTCACAAACAAAATTGACGTGTTTTTGGATTTTTTGAAAAAAAAATATCCTGGCCGTTATGCCTTGCTGAACGTTTTCGATGGGCCACCCTGTATAACAGTTTGTGTGTTCGGATGACCTATTAGTATTTGTATCTTTATTTCTATGTGTGGCACTAGTATTCTGTGGGGATATTTATAGATCATGCACTTTTAATATAGCATAATGTAGGATATGTTACCAACATATCATATGGATATTTTGATATATCTTATATTGTGCTACTTCCTAAGCTATGGGATTCCTGATATCTAATATTAGATGTTTTATTTTAAACTTGTCTTTCTCAAACGACGCGAAAACAAGCTTGTAAGTACCTGCTTTCTTCTGTAAATAACTAAGACACGAAAATGATTTACAATAAAAATTTCCAGACGACGATACTGAACCAAGAGATGGAGCGTCTCATCTACTGATTTGGCAACTAATAAACGATGAGCTTAGAAATCCTATAGGGTAGGTTCAGACGTAACGTAATTGATATCACCTCATATATGTTTTTGCCATCATTCGGCTTTTTTTATGGTTAATAGTTTAATATCATAGCCACACAAAA